CCTGTTCACTCTGATGATAGTTTCTTTTGCTGAGCAGAAGCTCTTTAGTTTAATTAGATCCCATTTGTTAATTTTTTGTTTGTTTGTTTCAATTGCTTTTGGTGTTTTAGTCCTGAAGTTTTTGCCCATGCCTATATCCTGAAATGCTATTTCCTAGGTTTTCTTCTAGGGTTTTTATGGTTTTAGGTTTAAGTCTTTAATTTGAGTTAATTTTTGTATAAGGTGTAAGGATGGGCTCTACTTTCTGTTTTCTGCATATGGCTAGCCAGTTTTCTCAGCATAATTTAGTAAACAGTGAATCCTTTCCCCATTGCTTGTTTTTGTCACATTTGTTGAAGATCAGATGGTTGTAGATGTGTGCTATTTCTGAACTCTCTGTTCTATTCCATTGACCTATATGTCTGCTTTGGTTATTTTAACATTGTAGTATAGTCTTAGGCAGCATGATACCTCCAGCTTTGTTCCTTTTGCTTAGGATTGTCTTGGCTATATGGGCTCTTTTTTGGTTCCATGTGAAATTTTAAGTAGTTTGTTCTAATTCTGTGAAAAAAAAGTTAATGGTAGCTTGATGGGAATAGCATTGAATCTATAAATTACTTTGGGCAATATGGCATTTTCATGATATTGATTCTTCCTATCCATAAGTATGAAATGTTTTCATGTTTGGTTGTGTCCTCATTTCCTTGAAAGCAGTTTGTAGTTCTACTTGAAGATATCCTTCATGTCCCTTGTAAGTTGCATTCCTAGGTATTTTATTTTCTTTGTAGCAATTGTGAATGGGAGTTCACTCATGATTTGGCTCTCTGCTTGTTGGTTACTGGTGTATAAGAATGCTTGTGATTTTTGCACATTGATTTTGTATCCTGAGACTTTGCTGACGTTTCTTATCAGCTTAAGGAGATTTTAGGCTAAGACGATGAAGTTTTCTAAATATACAATCATGTCATCTTCAGAGACAATTTGGCTTCCTCTGTTCCTATTTGAATATTCTTTCTTTTTCTTGCCTAATTGCCCTGGCCAGAACTTCCAATACTATGTTTAACTATGATGAGAGAGGCTATCCTTGTCTTGTGCTGGTTTTCAAAGGGAATGCTTCCCAGCTTTTGTCTATTCAATATGATATTGGCTATGGGTTTGTCATAAATTGCTCTTATTATTTTGAGACATATTCCATCAATACCTAGTTTATTTTTTTATTGCATTTTAGGTTTTGGGGTACATGTGATGAACATGCAAGGTTGTTGCATAGGTACACACATGGCAGTGTGCTTTGCTGCCTTCCTTCCCCTCACCTGTATGTGTCATTTCTCCCCATGCTATCTCTTCCCACCTCCCCACCCCCCCGCCCCTCCCCCATTTCCCCCTAACGGACCCCAGTGTGTAGTGCTCCCCTCTCTGTGTCCATGTCTTCTCATTGTTCAACACCCGCCTACGAGTGAGAACATGTGGTGTTTGATTTTCTGCTCTTGTGTCAGTTTGCTGAGAATGATAGTTTCCAGGTTCATCCATGTCCCTACAAAGGACACGAACTCATCGTTTTTGATGGCTGCGTAATATTCCATGGTGTATATGTACCACATTTTCCCTATCCAGTCTATCATTGATGGGCATTTGGGCTGGTTCCAGGTATTAATACCTAGTTTATTGAGAGTTTTTAGCATGAAGTGGTATTGAATTTTATTAAAGGTCTTTTCTGTATCTGTTGAGATAATCAAGTGTTTTTTTGTCATTGATTCTGTTTATGTGATGGGTTACATTTATTGGTTAGTGTATGTTGAACCAGCCTCACATCCCAGGGATGAAGTCGACTTGATCATGGTGGATAAGCTTTTCGATGTGCTGCTGGATTCAGTTTGCTAGTATTTTATTGAGGATTTTCACATCGATGTTCATCAGTGATATTGATGTGCTGCTGGATTCGGTTTGCTAGTATTTTATTGAGGATTTTCACACCGATGTTCATCATCATTTTGTATATTGTGTCTCTGCCAGGTTTTGGAATCAGCATGATGCTGGCTTCATAAAATGAGTTAGGGAGGAGTCCCTCTTTTTTTATTGTTTGGAATAGTTTCAGAAGGAATGATGCCAGCTCCTCTTTGTACCTCTGGTAGAATTCAGCTGTGAATCTGTTTGGTTCTGGGCTTTTATTGGTTGTTAGGCCATTAATTATTGCCTCAATTTCAGAACTTGTTATTGGTCTATTCAGGGATTTGACTTCTCCCTGGTTTAGTCTTGGGAGGGTGTCCAGGAATTTATCCACTTTTTTCTAGATTTTCTAGTTTATTTGCATAGAGATATTTATAGTATTCCCTGATGGTGCTTGTATTTCTGTGAAATCAGTGGTGGTATCCCCTTTATCATTTTTTATTTTGTCGATTTGATCCTACTCTCTTTTATTCTTTATTAGTGTGGATAGCACTCTATCTATTTTGTTAATCTTTTAAAAAAAAAAAAAAAACCCAGCTCCTGGGTTGACAGACATCTCATATATGAGATCTCCAATTGGCATCAGACTGGTGCCCCTCTGGGATGAAGCTTCCAGAGGAAGGAGAAGGCATCAATCTTTGCTGTTCTCCAGCCTCCACCAGTGATAACCCTGCAAATAGGGTTGGAGTGGACCTCCAGCAAACTGCAGGAGACCTGCAGAAGAGGGGCCTAACTGTTAGAAGAAGAACTAACAAAAAGCAATAATATCAACATCAATACAAAAGACCCTCACACAAAACCCCATCCAAAGGTAATCAGCCTCAAGGATCAAAGGTAGATAAATACATGAAGATGAGGAAAAACAAGCACAAAAGTGCTAAAAATTCCAAAAACCAGAATGGACAGAGAATGAGTTTGATGAATTAACAGAAGTAGGCTTCAGAAGGTGGGTAATAATGGACTCCCCTGAGCTAAAGAAGCATGTTCTAACTCAATGCAAGGAAGCTAAGAACCTTGACAAAAGGTTACAGGAACTGCTAACTAAAATAACCAGTTTAGAGAGTCACTAAACTCTGACCTGATGAAACTGAAAAACATCACATGAGAACTTCGTGAAGCTTGCATAAATATCAATAGCCAAATTGATCAAACGGAAGAAAGGATATCAGAGATTGAAAATCAACTTACTGCAATAAGGCGTGAAGAAAAGATTAGAGAAAAAAGAGTGAAAAGGAAAGAACAAACCCTCCAAGAAATATGACACTCTGTGAAAAGACCACACCTACGATTGATTGGCATCCCTGAAAGTGATGGGGAGAATGGAAGCAAGTTGGAAAACACACTTCAGGATGTTATTCTGGAGAACTTCCCCAACCTAGCAAGACAAGCCAACATTCAAATTCAGGACATATAGAGAACACCACTAAGATATTCCTTGAGAAGGGCAACCTCAAGACACATAATCATTAGATTCTCCAAGGTTGAAATGAAGGAAAAAATGTTAAGGGCAGTAAGAAAGAAAGGGAGGGTCACAAAGAGAAGCCCATCAGACTAACAGCAGATCTCTCTGCAGAAACCCTAGAAGTCAGAAGACAGAGTGAGGGCCAATATTCAACATTCTTAAAGAAGTTTCAACCTAGGATTTCATATCCAGTCAAACTAAGCTTTGTAAGTGAAGGAGAAATAAAATCCTTTACAGACAAGCAAATGCTGAGGGATTCTGTCATCACCAGGCCTGCCTTGCAAGAGCTCCTGAAGGAAGCACTGAAAGGAAAAACCGGTACCAGCCACTGGAAAAACATACCACAATATAAAGACCAAGGACACTATGAGGAAACTGCATCAACTAATATGCAAAATAACCAGCTAGCAGCATGATGACAGAATCAGATTCACATATAACAATATAAACCTTAAATGTAAATGAGCTAAATGTCCCAATGGAAAGACACATACTGGCAAACTGGATAAAGAGTCAAGACCTATCAGTGTGCTGTATTCAGGAGACCCATCTCACATGCAAAGACCCACATAGGCTCAAAATAAAGGGATGGAGGAATATTTGCCAAGCAAACGGAAAGCCAAAAAAAGCAGAGGTTGCAAACCTGGTCTCTGATAAAACAGCCTTTAAACCAACAAAGATCAACAAAGACAGAGAAGGGCATTATATAATGGTAAAGGGATCAATGCAACAAGAGCTAACTATCCTAAATATACATGCACCCACTACAGGAGAATCCAGATTCATAAAGCAAGTTCTTAGAGATCTACAAAGAGACTTAGACTCCCACACTGCAAAGAGACTTAGACTCCCACTCAATAATAGTAGGAGACTTTAATACCACATTGTCAATATTAGGTCAATGAGACAGAAAATTAATAGGATGTCCAGGACTTGAACTCAGATCTGGACCAAGCAGACCTAACAGACATCTACAGAACTCTCCACCCCAAATCCACAAAATATACATCCATCTTAGCACCACATAGCACTTATTCTAAAATTGACCACATAATTGGAAGTAAAACGCTCCTCAGAAAATGCAAAAGTATAGAAATCATAACAAACTGTCTCTCAGACCACAGTGAAATCAGATTAGAACTCAGGATTAAGAAACTCACTCAAAACCATAAAACTACAAGGAAACTGAACAACCTGCTCCTGAGTGACTACTCAGAAAATAATGAAATCAAGGCAGACATAAATAAGTTCCTTGAAACCAATGAGAACAAAGACACAATGTACCAGAATCTCCGGGACAGAGTTAAAGCAGTGTTATGGGGAAAATTTATAGCACTAAATCCCCACATGAGAAAGCAGGAAAGATCTAAAATCTACACTCTAACATCACAATTAGAACTAGAGAAGCAAGAGCAAACAAATTCAAAAGTAGCAGAAGACAAAAAATAAGATCAGAGCAGAACTGAAGTCTCAGATAGAGGCATGAAAAACCTTTCAAAAAAATCAGAGTGACTTTCAACTGTGGGACACAGCCAGATCAAGGTGAACTTACATGGGAAAAAGCTTGGAGAGTGAATGCTTAATTTCACTCTTCCCTGTCTCTGATCTCCAGCCCAACTAGAAGCCAGGAAGAGCAGACACCTTGCTGATGGAGCTCAATGAGGTCAGCCTCCATGGCTGAGCGAAGAATTCTGGTTCTGAGGAGCAGTGAAAAGATATGGGTAAAAACTCTGTCACAGTATTGGCCACTTTAAAAAATAGATAGATTCCATACTTCTGCAGTGAGATGGCCTGAAAATATATTTGAAGCAGTTACATGAAAAGCCACAAAACCTTTCCTAGCTCCAGCTCCCTGGTTCTCGTTTCATGACTGTGGTTTACGTTTTATTTTTAAATTCCCTTTTCTATTACTGTTTTAAAATACACTTTGTCTAGGATATGTATTAAAGGGCCATATTTTAGGAAAGTCCAAAAGGAGGCCTTCTTTGAGAAATGACATATCCCTTTTCCCGTAACCACCACTCTCCTCCCGTCTTTGGCTATACATTTCCATTGTTAGCAGTTGGTAGGAACCAGGCCAAGGATCACAAGGAGCCAGGAACTGCGGGGCTGACTGAACTGCCTTTATTCCCCTGCTTTGGAGCACTTGGATCAACCATACACATTTGCTGCTGCTTCTAAAGATGTGTTTTTACACTGAATGAATTTTTCATGTTGCTTGTTAAAGACATGAAGGTAGAGTAACTAAGATGATTCTAATAACATAAGTATATTGAGATAAGACTAAGGGATAATTTTGGAGCTTGCAAAGAAATTATTTTAAGTTATTTTAATTTTTTCCTGTAGAAAGAGATCCTGTCTGTGCTGATGGGAGAGCTACCAATGCATCTGGTAATGAAAATGAAAGCATGGTAAGGCATTATTTCCTTTATCAAACCATTTATAGTATGAAAATGCTTCTTTAAAAGGGTAAAGTTCTGACTGATTCACATATTATCATGCAAGACTTTTATACAGAAAAAACAACAGGAGGGGTTGCAGGATAATATAGCAGAAAAATATAATTAGACTTTTCCCAATGTCTGTAATTAAATAGGCTCCACTTGCTTAAATACATGGTTGTTCTTCTTGTCTCCTATTGTTATTTGTAGAGATCTCCAATGGCATTTTGCACATGAGGGTGAGCCAATGTACTTATTCTTCTGATAGAGGCACGAAACATGGTATTGTTTACAAGTGAAAAGAAACACAACTATAATTCACTTGTGAATTATAGTTTGATTGTATACTTCCTTTTTACTGCATTCCTTTTATTTTTTCTGTGTTTCATTAATCGGAATATAAAGGAGGGCCAGGAGTATGGTAAACTTGTTTTTCCCACTGTTAAAAACCCTGAAACAGATAGTAAGGAGATTAAAATTAACTGTTAAGACTCAGATTTATTTTATAATGGTCTCATGGATTTTTAATTACAGATGCAAGCAATAGCCTAAAGCTTCTTATCTCCCACCCCAAAACACTACTATTGTTAACTATTTAAGATATAAATGGATATTCTGACTTGAGCAACGATACTTAGAGTCTATTTTTCTTGGTTCTAGCCTCTTTCAGGATATCCAGCCAGTACAGGAAATGAGACAGGACAAGACCGTGACAACTCATGACAAGCATCCTCAATCTCCAGTGACTTTGTCTACCCTTTCTTCACTGCAATTCCAAGCAATGGCCTGTCAGACTGGAGAATTCTACCACTGCAAAGACTTGTAACCATTTTCTAGTATGAGATTTACTTTTCAAGACGTAAGGATCATTCACTGACCCACTACCTGCATTGAGTATAAATGCCTGGATATTAAGGATTCCAATTTAACTTCGAAAAGAGCTGTCTTACTCGTTTACATTCCCATTGCAGTCAGCCCAGGAGGTTACAGTGAGCTCTCCACTAAGAATCTGGAAGAAATGCATCACTAGGCTGATTCCCAATCTGATCAGCTCATAATGGGTGAGAGAGCAGGTAAGAACAGAAGTCACCTTAGTGGAAAGGTTAAAAAGTTTTCTAGAGGCTGGAAACCAAGATGACTGATTTGATAAGGTATTTTAGTCTAGTTTTATATGAATGGTTACATTCATATAAAGGGTAACCAATTAGATTTAGGATGAGTCTTAGGGACACCAAAGAGTAAAACTGTCTGTATCTTTAAGATTGCTAGGGAAAAGGGCCCTATACAAGAATTGACATCTCTGAAGTTGGTCACACCTGACCATACCAGGATTGTATAGTTGAGTAACTAGCTACGAAGATAATGTGAACTCTTCTAGCTCAACTGGCATCTTGCTAACCAACCTTCTAATAAATTTAGATTTTCATATACATTTTTAAGCAAGAGGAGAAGGGAAAGCTCAGCTAACTTGATCTGTTTCCCTTAATTTTAGTCATCAATTTACATAAAAGAAACAGTCTAATGTTGATGCTTGTGAACTTGTCACTATAACCAGGCTTTTGTATGACTTCATTGATCAAGGTTTTGACTCCATAAGAGAAAGCAAATTCTGAATTGTGATGTAACTGTCACCTGGTCCTGGTCCAATTTTCTTTATCATCTGATCTCTGTTTCACAATCCTATGCCTTGTACGTAGTTAACTCTGTTTTTGCTACAGTGTTGTGATGGGTTACCACAAATAGCAAAGTATTAAGAATTCCAGTCAGAATGATGATTATTAAAAAGTCAAAAAACAATAGCTGTTGGCAAGGCTGTGAAGAACTAGAATACTTTTACACTGTTGGTGGGAGTGTAAATTAGTTCAACCATTGTGGAAGACAGTGTGGCGATTCCTCAAGGATCTAGAACCAGAAATACCATTTGACCCAGCAATGCCATTACTGGGTATATACCCAAAGGATTATAAATCATTCTACTATGAAGATATATGCACATGTATGTTTACTGCAGCACTACTTACAATAGTGAAGACTCGGAACCAACCCAAATGCCTATCAATGACAGACTGGATAAAACAAATGTGGTACATATATACCATGGAATACAATACAGCCATAAAAAGAAATGAGATCATGTCCTTGCAGCAGGGACATGGATGAAGCTGAAAGACATCATTCTCAGCAAACTAACACGGAACAGAAAACTAAACCACATGTTCTCACTTATTAGTGGGAGCTGAACAATGAGGATACACTGACAAAGCAAGGAGAACATCACAGGTCGGGGCCTGTTGGGGGTGGGGGAACAAGGGGAGAGAACCCAGAGGATGGATCAAAAGGTGCGGCAAACCACCACGGCACATGTATACCTATGTAACAAACCTGCATGTTCTGCACATGTATCCCAGAACTTAAAGTAAAAAAAAAAAATTTTTTTAAAGTTAGATATGGTAAAAACAAAAAATTCTATTGTGAAGAAAAACTCCAATGAAATAATATTTAAGTGTCTACCATCTCTGCTTCCCCTTAACCTTGGTTCCTTTTTAAAAATTGTGTCCGAGTGAGAGACTATGATACTTAAGAATAAAACGGGATGCATCCCCAGTGTGAAGTTTGACTTTATTGAGTATGTGCCTGGGGTGTGGAGAAACAATAGCATCCTGACTTCAGGATTGGTAATATGACAATGGCAACTTTCTAAGAAAAGGTTTGGGATATAGAGATGTTTCCTGAATATAAGTATTGGCTTATTAAAGGGTAATTCCAAACTTATATTTTACCGAAGTTTTTAAAAATTACTATTCCAGGGGGGGAAAAAAACCTAGTAAAGTTCCATGTTTGTTAGACATTTTGTGTTTTCTCATCAGGTTGAGACTGATGGTAAGAGGAGCAACTGCTTTGGATACAGCCTGACACACATCCCTGCTAGTTTTCACTCTGTGGCTATGCATCCCTCTCCATCAACTGCAAAACTCAAATTTGGTTCACCCTGCTCTAAATGGTACCCTGATTTTTCAAGAGGATCCACTTTGATCTGTCTGAGCCAACCCTGGCAATTGCAGTCCTCTTGCCACTAGACTGGTTCAGCATAAGCAGGTAAAGAAATCTTCAGTAGGACATGAGGAAAAGTATTCCAGAGGTCTGCTTCTGAGAATGTGTTTCTCCATTTTAAGAAAAGACAGGATATTGTATAAGGAGAAAATGCTCAGAACTGCTGAAGTCTTCTTACAGCAACAAGAGATTCAGAAAAGAATGAACCTGGATCCTCTGATTCCACTCAGTCCCTGAATTAATCTTCAAGCTACCCATAGGAGTCAGGTTTGGATCAGGGAGGCAGAACCAGAGAATGACAGAATAAAGATTTATTATAGAGCTTCAACCTTACACAATTGTAGCTGCTGGTGGAGAAGTCCATGCCAAGCTGTTCACTCTGCATCTGGTTGGGGCCTGAAGTCACTGCTGGTCGGCTGTGCAAGCAGCAAGGATGAAGGGAAATCCATAGAACAAACAGGACCCATGACTGTGTCTTGGCCTCCACTGCAGTGCCGTGGGTGATTGCAGGAAAAGCTGCTGCTGGTTGCCATGGAGCTGCACACACACACCTGGCGAGGACTCTGCAAAGCTGAAGGAGGAGGCTGGCAGGAGTTAGAAGAGCTCTGGGTTCAGGGAGCTGTCTCTGGTCTCTGGTAGCTCCCCTTTTTGGCCTGGAGCCATATTTTCAAGCTGTCACAATGCTTTGGTCTGTACACTGACCTTATGGGCATAAAATAGATGCTGATTTTGCCTGTCAAATCAGTGCAAATTTCTTTATGACCCATGCCAATCCAGAACCATGAGAGGAATTCCGGGACATGTTCTTCCAACTTAGCTAAATTGGCACTGCACAAATCCAGCATATTACCTGTCACTGAATGTCTTGTGTGAGGTTATCTCCATGTTTAAAGTGTGTACCAGCGTAGTGCCTACATGTGTGTTGATTAGGAGAATTTTGCCTACATGTTCAAATTGACTAACCATGGTTATATGTATATCACAATGCTGAGGAGATGTTATGACTTCTGTTTCACCACTGCCGGCTCACAATAGATATACATAGATTTAGGGGTGAATGAAGCCAAAGTTGCCTAACTTCAGTAAAATCCACTCACCAACATACCCTAGTCCCCATGGAACGTGATTGGTCTAAGGATATCTTCTATGAGTCCTACCCAGTAAGTAGAAATATGGACAAAGGATCAAGTATTAATTCATTTCTTTAAACATCAGAAGTGAAAATGTTCTTTCATTTATTTAAGCTGTCATGTGAAACATTAGAAGGTAGTTTACTTGCATTTGAGGATCAAAAACATCCCCATTAACTGTGGAAGCAATGATATTCCCTTTAATTATTTTTCTAATTGCCTTGTTTATATGGTGTGAAAAGCAATTTAAACATGTTTTTAAAAATGTTTCCAATGCAATCTAAGTTTTTGGCCATGAAATAGCATCTTTCTTGTACTTCTTCAGCTGTTGTCCTTTCAAAGCAGGGGATGCTTATTCTTTTTGAACCTGAAAAACAAAATGTCAGTGTGTTCTGTGAATTTCCTGTGATTTTCACCAGTGGAACACATGCCCAGAACCAAGCTGAGTCCTTTCCAGAGGTAAGCAGGCCTTAGCCAACTCTTCATTAACTTCAAAGGGAGGCAGGGAATTGAGGCAATTATCTGCATTATAGAAAGCAGACACCGGTAATTCACCCCAAGGGTATGCTCAGTCACTCTCAATTTTCTGCCTGCCTTCCCTTGCCTTGCCAGTGAAGGCAGCACCCCTTTTAGCCAACCCCATGAGAAGAAAGATTCTGCAGCCACATCACCAATATGCTCCCCAGCCCTGACACACAATTCTGTCAGAAAACCTTTTCCTTGTGCTTATGACAGTTGAGGGATTTTTTGGCCTTTCTTCTGTGAAGGGGAAACAATTAGTCACTGTGCTGCCAAGGAAGGTTTTCCTTTTCCTCTCTGGCCTCTCAAAAGCAGTTTCTGCTTCACTCACTGTGTTCTTTGTTGAAAATATAACTGTGACAAAGTCGAAGGGATGGCATCTGTTTTGGAGGCCCTTTGACCTCCTGCAGCTGAATGCAATTGCAGCACGTGGGAAGCACCTCCCTGAACAACTTATATGAGGTTGCTGGCGGGCTCTGCATACGAGACCCTACATCCAGTGCCATAACGCTTCTCAAATTGAGGCCAGAGTTCAAACCACTTAATTGGCCCTCTCGCATAGGACTTATCCTTCAGGCAGCTATTCAGGCATCAGTAAAAAATTTCTAGAGTCTCTCAATAATTCATATTTCTTATATTTAGATCTAAAAATATTCAATATAACCAACTCTTAGGCTCTCCTTCAAAAGAGATGCTTTTGACCTCCCTTAAGGTAGTATTTATGCGTATTATTGGCAACCCTATCAGCTTACCCAGCAGGTTTACTAGTAATTCAGTTACTACCTGGATTCATTTGTATAAAATAATCAGGAGTCCATGGAACAAAGATGATTTTAAAAAGCACAGATGGATGGACTCAAAATTTGGAGTGAACTCTTTTTGGAATAGACACATTTGCACCATCTCAATATGGAGTCCAAGAGGGAAGATATTTAAGATTGAGACACTGAAGGAAAACAAATGCAAGAGTCTTGCTTTGCAGTTCTCTGCTTTATATTCCTGCTTCTGCCCAAAAACAGAGAAAGAGGGCTAGTGATGCACCACGTTTAAAAAAAAAAATGAAATGATGGTGCCTATGCATGCCAGAAGCTGTGCTCAGTGATTTCAGGCAAGCTATTAGCTAGTATCACATTATCCAATCTCCTTTGATTCCTTTCCCCTAAAGCCAGACCTCATTTAAAAACTGTGTATTCCTGAGAAAATTTTGATATGGAAGCCAAAACTACCTAACCCTACCCAACATTCAGTACATCATTCTTCATCACTGTACCAGTAAAATCAGGGCAATGGCCTCTACCATTAGATTAGAAGAGCTGTTTCATGGACCAAGGAGACACAGAAAGATCCTTTTTTCTGTGTTTTCAGGCAGAATCAGGAATATAAAGCAGAGAACTACAAAGCAAGACTCTTGCATTTGTTTTCCTTCAGTGCCTCAATTTTAAACATCTTCCCTCATGGACTCCATGTTGATATGGAACAAAGTCATGTATGTGTCTACTATGGAAAGAGTTTACTCCGAATTTTGAGTTGATCCATTTGCTTTTTAAAATCATCTTTGTTCCATGGACTCCTGACTACACAAATGAATCCAGACCCTAAATGTCAGACCCTGCACATTAAAATGGATGTAAACATTTGAAAAGTATAAATACAATGTGCATGCCACTCAAGTGCTTAGCATTTCATCTACCTGGACAAGTATAATTTAGTACACACGGAAAGGTTTTATGGGAACCCTTTGTTCTTATCTTTTGAAAGTAAGCTTTTAAAGTTGGGAAGGAGATCCAAGATGGCTAAATAGGAACAGCTCTGGAGTGCAGTTCCCAGTGAGAAGAATGCAGAGGGTGAGTGATCACTGCATTTCCAAACAAGTTTTTACTGCCCACAGACCAGGAGATGCCAGGTTCAAAAGCGCCATAAGTTTCGAGCATGGCTGTTTGAGCCGGTGCTGCCAGTCTCTGCACAAAACTGGCACAAATACGGGCGGCTGTTTCAACAGGCTCCTAGAACATCTGGGATACAGAGCTGCCCATTCAAAGGAAAAAAAGGGGGCTGAAACAGGGAACCAGGTGATCTGGCTTGGTGGGTCCCACCCCCTACAAAGACCAGCAATCTGAAATGCTCTGGATTGAGAGTTTCACAGCAAGTGCAGCTGGACCTGGGACAGTCCAGCTTGGTCGGGGGGAAGGGCATCAGCCATTACTGAGGCAGTCTGCCACTACCAAGGCAGTCTGCCTTTACCGAGGCAGACCACCATCACTGAGGCAGTTCTAACAAGAAGTTCACATAGCAGCTGGGCAGAGCCCACAGCAACTCAGTAATCCCTCTGCTGGCAGACTGTGGCTAGACTACCAGCTTGCTGGGCAAGGCATCTCTGAAAAAAGGCAGCAGCATGTCAGGAACTTATAAATAAAGCCCCACCTTCCCAGGACAGAGCACCTGGGGAAAAAGGCATTTATGAGTTCCACTGCAGCAGACTTAAATGTACCTGCCCAGAAGCTCTGAAGAGAACAATGGAGCTCCCAGCTCAGCACCTGAACTCCTATAAGTGGCAGACTGTCTCCTTTAGCAGCTCCCTGACCCCTGTATATCCAAAGAAACACCTTGTAAAGGAGAGCTCAGACTGACATCTGGCAGGTACCCTTCTAGGATGAAATAACAGAAGAGAAACTGACAGCAACCCTTACTGTTCTGCAGCCCCCGGGGGTGATTCCCCAGGCTAGCAGGTTCTGGAGTGGACCACCAGCAGGCCTACAGCAGAGGGGCCTGACAGAAGCAAAACTAAGAAACAGAAAGAAATAACTTCAACATCAACAAAAAGGATGTCCACTCAGAGACCCCATCTGAAAGTCACCAACTACAAAGACCACAGGTAGATAAATCCACAAAGATGGGAAGGAAGCAGAGCAAAAAGGATGAAAACACCAAAAACCAGAACGCCTCTCCTCCTCCAAGGGAACACAGCTCCTCACCAGGAAGGGAACAAAGCTGGACGGAGAATGAGTCTGATGAATTGACAGAAACAGGCTTCAGAAGGTGGGTAATAACAAACTTCTTTGAACTAAAAGAACATGTTCTAACCCAATGCAAAGAAACTAAGAAACTTGAAAAAAGGGTTTCAAGAAATGCTAATGAGAATAAACAGCTTAGAGAAGAATATAAATGCCTTGATGGTGCTGAAAAACGCAACAAGAGAACTTCGCGAAGCATATGCAAGTTTCAATACCTGAATTGACCAAGCAGAAGAAAGGATATCACAGATTGAAGATCAACTCAATGAAATAAAATGAGAAGGCAATTCTCTTGGTCACATTCAGGTACACCTGCATTTCACAGGTGTACCTGAATGTGACGGAGAGAATGAATCCAAGCTGGAAAACACTCTTCAGGATGTTATCCAGGAGAACTTCCCCAACCTAACAAGGCAGGCCAATATTCAAGTCCAGGAAATACAGAGAACACCACAAAGATATTCCTCAAGAAGAGCAACCCCAAGGCACATAATCGTCAGATTCACCAGGGTCAAGATGAAGGAGAAAATGCTAAGGGCAGCCAGAGAGAAAGGTTGGGTTACCCACAAAGGGAAGCCCATCAGACTCACAGCAGACCTCTCCACAGAAACCATACAAGCCAGAAGAGAGTGGGGGCCAGTATTCAACATCCTTAAAGAAAAGAACTTTGAACCTAGAATTTCATATCCAGCCAAACTAAGCTTCATAAGTAAAGGAGAAATAAAATTCTTTACCAAGAAGCAATTACTCAGCGATTCCATCACCACCAGGCATGCTTTACAAGAGCTCCTGAAAGAAGCACTAAACATAGAAAGAAACAACCAGTACCAGCCACTCCAAAAACCTATCAAATGGTAAAGAGCATCGACATAATGAAGAAACTGCACCAACTAACAGGCAAAACAACCAGCTAGCATCAAAATGGCAAGATCAAATTCACACACAACAATATTAACCCTAAATGTAAGTGGGCTAAATGACCCAATCAAAAGACACAAACTGCCAAATTGGATAAAAAGCCAAAACTCATCAGTGTGTTTTATCGAGGAAACCCATCTTACATGCAAGGATACACACAGGCTCAAAATAAAGGGTTGGGGGAAGATTTACCAAGTAAATGGAGAGCAAAAAAAAAGCAGGAGTTGCAATTCTCGTCTCTGATAAAATAGACTTTAAACCAACAAAGATCAAAAGAGACAAAGAAGGACATTACATAATGGTAAAAGGATCAATGCAATGAAAAGAGCTAACAATCCTAAATATATACACACCCAATCTAGGTGCACCCAGATACATAAAGCAAGTTCTTAATGACTTACAAAGAGAATTGGACTCCCACTCAATAATAGTGGGAGGCTTTAACACTCCAGTGTCAATATTAGATCAATGAGGCAGAAAATTAACAAGGACATCCAGGACTTGAACTCAGACCTAGAACAAGCAACTGGAACAGACACTTACAGAACTTTCCACTCCAAATCCACAGAATATACATTCTTCTCAGCACCACATCACACCTACTCTAAAATTGACCACATCATTGGAAGTAAATCACTCCTCATCAAATGTAAAAGAACAGAAATCATAACAGTCTCTCAGACCACAGTGCAATCAAGTTAGAACTCAGAATTCAGAAACTAACTAAGAACTTCACAGCTTCATGGAAACTGAACAACTGGCTCTTGAATGTTGACTGGATAAACAATGAAATGAAGGCAGAAATAAAGATGTTCTTTGAAACCAACGAGAACGAAGACACAACATACCAGAATCTCTGGGACACATTGAAAGCAATGTCTAGAGAAAAATTTATAGCAATAAATGCCCACATGAGAAGGAAAGATCTAAAATCAACACCCTATCATCAAAATTGAAAGAGCTAGACGAGCAAGATCAAAAAAACTCAAAACCTAGCAGAAGACAAGAAATAACTAAGATCAGAGCAGAAATGAAGGAGACTGAGACATAAAAAAACGCTTCAAAAATCAGTAAATCCAGGAGTTGGTTTTTCAAAAGGATCAACAAAATAGACCACTAGCCAGATTAATAAAAAAGAAAAGAGAGAATAATCAAATACTTGCAATAAAAAACGATAAAGGGGATATCACCACTGATCCCACAGAAATACAAACTACCATCAGAGATTACTACAAACAACTCTATGCACATAAACCAGTAAATCTGAAGAAATGGATAAATTCCTGGACACTTGCATCCTTCCAAGTCTAAACCAGAAAGAAGTCAAAACCCTGAATAGACCAATAACAAGGGCTGAAATTGAGGCAACAATTAATAGTCTACCAACTAAAAAAAGCCCAGGTCCAGATGGCTTCACAGCCAAATTCTACTAGACATACAAAGAGGAGCTGGTACGACTCCTTCTGAAACTATTCCAAACAATCCAAAAAGAGGGAATCCTTCACAAATCATTTTATGAGACCAACATCATCCTGATACCAAAATCCAGCAGAGACTCAACAAGAAAAGAAAACTTCAGGCCAATATCCATGATGAATATCAACGCAAAAATCTTCAATAAAATACTGGCAAGCTGATTGTAACAGCACATCAAAAAGCTTATCCACCATGATCAAGTAGGCTTCATCCCGGAGATGCAAGGCTGGTTCAACATACGCAAGTCTATAAACGTAATCCACCAAATAAACAGAACCAAAGACAAAAATCACATGATCATCTCCATAGATGCAGAGAAGACCTTTGACAAAATTCAACAGCCCTTTATGCTAAAAACCCTCAATAAACTAGGTATTGACAGAATGCATCCCAAAGTAATAAAAGCTATTTACAACAAACCCACAGCCAATATCACACTAAATGCGCAAAAACTGGAAGCATTCCGTTTGAAACCTGACACTAGACAAGGATGCCCTCTCTTACCACTCCTATTCAATATAGTATTGGAAGTTCTAGCCAGAGCAATCAGGCAAGAAAAGGAAATAAAGGGTATTCAATTAGGAGAGGAGGAAGTCAAATTGTCTTTTTTTGCAGATGACATGATTGATTGTATATTTAGAAGACCCCATCATCTCAGCCCAAAATCTCCTAAAACTGATAAGCAACTTCAGCAAAGTCTCAGGATACAAAATCAATGTGCAAAAATCACAGGCATTCCTATACACCAATAACAGACTAAAACAGAACCAAAGCAAGAACCAAACCAAATCCCATTGTGAATGGGAAAAAGAAATCCCATTCACAGTTACTACAAAAAGAATAAAATACCTAGAAACACAACTAACAAAGGATTTCTTCAGTGAGAACTAAGAACCACTGTTCAAGGAAATAAGAGAGGACACAACACATGGAAGAACATTCCATGCTCATGGTTAAGAAGAATCAGTATTGTGAAAATGGCCATACTGCCAAAAGTAATTTAGAGATTCAGCAGTATCCCCAACAAGCTACCTATGACCCCCTTCACAGAACTGGAAAAAACCACCTTAAACTTCATATGGAACCAAAAGAGAGCCCACATAGCCAAGACAATCCTAAGCAAAAAGAACAAAGCTGGAGGCATCATGCTACCTGACTTCAAACTACACTACAAGCCTACAGCAATCAAAACAGCTTAGTACTGGTATCAAAACAGAGATACAGACCAATGGAACAGAACAGAGGCCTTGAAATCAATGCCACACATCTACAACCATCTGATCTTTGACAAACCTCACAAAAACAAGCGATGGGGAAAGGATTCCCTGTTTAATAAATGGTGTTGGGATAACTGGTTAGCCATGTGCAGAAAGCAGAAACTGGACCCCTTCCTGACACCTTACACTAAAATTAACCCCAGATGGATTAAAGACTTAAACGTAAGACCTAACACCATAAAAACCCTAGAAGAAAACCTAGGCAAAACCATTCAGGACATAGGCGTAGGCAAGGACTTCATGACCAAAACACCAAAAGCACTGGCAACAAAAGCCAAAATAGACAAATGGTATCTAATTAAATTCCAGAGCTTCTGCACAGCAAAAGAAACAATCATTAGAGTGAACCAACAACCAACAGAATGGAAACAAAATTTTGCAATCTACCCATCTGACAAAGGGCTAATATTCAGAATATACAGAACTAAAACAGATTTACAAACAAACCCATTCAAAAGTGGGTGAAAGACATGAACAGATACTTTTCGAAAGAAGACATATGAGGCCAACAAACATATGAAAAAATGCTCATCATCACTGGTCATGAGAGAAATGCAAATCTTAAACACATTGAGATACCATCGCACACCAGTTAGAATGGTGATCATTAAAAAATCTGGAGACAACAGAAGCTGGAGAGGATGTGGAGAAATAGGAACACTTTCACATGGTTGGTGGGAGTGTAAATTAGTTCAACCATTGTGGAAGAAAGTGTGGCAATTCCTCAAGGATCTAGAAATGGAAATTCCATTTGACCCAGCAATCCCATTACTGTGTATATATCCAAAGGATTGTAAATCATTCTATTTTAAAGTCACATGCACATGTATGTTCATTGCGGCATTGTTTACAATAGCAAAGACCTGGAACCAACCCAAATGCCCTTCAATGACAGACTGGACAGTGAAAATGTGGCACATATACACCATGGAATACTATGCAGCCATAAAAAATGATGAGTTTGTTTCCTTCATAGAGACATGGATGAATCTGGAAACCATCATTCTCAGCAAACTGACATAAGAACAGAAAATCAGACACCACATGTTCTCACTCATAGGCAGGTATTGAACAATGAGAACACATGGACACAGGGAGGGGAGCATCACATACTGGGATCTGTTGGGGGGAGAATAGGGGAGGGACAGTGTGGGGTAGAGAGGTTGGGGAGGGATAACATGGGGAGAAATGCCAGATACAGGTGACATGGGGATGGAGGCAGCAAACCACATTGCCATGTATGTACCTATGCGACAATTCTGCATGATCTGCACATGTACCCCAGAATCTAAAGTTATACATAAATATTTTCAGGAAAAAGAAAATTCTCATCCATGCAATGACATCAGCCCTAAACAAACATGATTTAAGACTTAGAATAGAGTTGAACACCTGCCATACCTTTTTTCCAAACTCTCTTGCTTTAATCTTGAGTTTATTGACTTGAGATTCTGCCATCTCTGCCCTTTCCTTCACTTCATTCAACTCATGTTGTTGCTTCTTGTACTTGGATAGGTATTGATTGGCTTGTGCTTCCTATAAAAATAATAAAGAAATCTCCATGCCTATCTAGTCAGCTTTTTTTTTTCTGCTCTGACATGAGAAAGTTGAATAATGTGAAGAGAATCTAAACTTCTCAGTATGGAATGAGGTATCTTTTTTTGGTATGATATATTGGGATTCAGACTTTCTAGCAGATATAAGATCCATTTTTTTATAACTTTTGTTCCCTGGAAATTCAGAACCTAGTTGGCACTTTTCATCAGCTGGATACAGCAGAGCTCTCACAGAAGGAAAATGTGCTGAAATAACCACAGTTGTTTGTTTTGTCATCAGTTTAACATCCTATTCTACCTCTGAGTAGAGAGCCTTTATCTTTAAAATTATATGGGTCAACAGGTAATTATTAGACCTTGGGCTAGAACAAGTAGTGTTTTAGGTCAAATCACTGAAATAATTAAAACACCTCAAGAGTTAATACTAGGGATAGATCAATATATATGGCACTTATCAATTCCCTGTAGTTATGGATACTAATCCAGGAATGGCAAGTACATTTCAATTTTTGCGTTTTGTCCACAACCATATCCAGGATCAAGAACAAATACTGTGAACCATGTTTATGTTTACCCAAGGTTTTGGGGTGGGGGAGGCCCCAGGGTGGACTACCTTGCCAAAAACTGGCCTTCCCTACAAGACACCCTGCTTTTATATGGCTTATTTCTTGCAGTGTACCTGTTTGGGTGAAACTGCAAAGGTAAAGGAGAAAGCTCTGGCTTCCTGGAGGGAAAAGCCATACACATTATTGCCATGGGTGAGAATTATAACGTAAGGAAAAAAACGAGAATGAGCAGACTCTAAGCTGAGCTGGCCCTCTCTGACAAGCTGCTTGCTGAGCTCAGGGCTACAGATCTCCCTTAATCAAAACAACGCTGGGAAATCCATGACACTCCAACTTCCCCAGGCACTCACCGCCATCTCGACTTGCTGCTTGTAATTTTGTACTTTCAGCTGAAGTGTATCCATCTGAATTTGCATCCTGCTCAGATTCTTCTTGTCTTCCTCTGCCTGCAATGCATAGGCATGTATGGGAAGGTGATTCAGAAGATCCAGCTGTCTACATTGGGATAGCCTCATGTGAGGAAATAAGGGGTTAGGGAACTTTATTAAACTGCATCTCAGAGTTGTGATTTTAAAAATGGGTTTAACTCACCCAAGTTCCAAGAAATTAATAAATAGAACTGTCGGCACTAACAGACATCTGTCCTGATCCACCAACTTTTGCTGAAATGGGAGTTAAAGCCATTGGGCTCTGTTTTGGTCTTCAGTCTTTCCAGCTCAACCAAGCTCTATCTGCCTGAAGCTATATCTGCATACTTAAAATGAGTAATTAATTATCTACTGCTATATTGTACTTTAAGGTGGTGGGGGAGTGCATTCCAGATGATGAGAACAACTATAGCTTTAGCTATAGCTAAATAAAAAGCTATATATTTAGCAGGAATTAACTGCATTATTATAAAAGCCACACATTCAAAACTGAAAAACTGTTGCTTCCCATTCAAAACAACTATTCCTTTAAACTTCCTAATTGACTCTTGGCTTTGCGTAATGGAACAATTCTGATGCATCAGCAGACAGCAAAGAAGATTCCACAAACTGTGGGAAGCTTGGTGTGCCCATTCTTACTGCCTCAATTACAATCCGGCCTTGGGCTGGAGAAAGAAAGTCTGGTGGGATACTGTTTCTCAGCTGTGCCCCACAGACCCTTTGGTATTCCAGGGAAAAAGGAGGATAGATGCAGCCAGGTACATAAGGCTCTGCCTGCTCCCTCTTTCCTCATGCCCCTTTAACTGGGGTATTGCCATGTTAGCGCTATTGAACTTTTCAAAGGAAGAAAATATCTCAATTTGCTCAGGGATGAGAAGCTGATTCAAACAAGAAAGATCTACTGCTGCTGCTTAAATTTTTTTTCTGGCTCCCTTTGACCTATTCCATCAGGTATCAACTTTTTTGGCAGCTTTCATGTTCCTCCTACTTATCTTCCATTCCTTGAGCACCACGAACCCACTCCAACCAGATGACATTCCCCTGCTTCTCCAGAGCTCCTGCTTATTCTGTCCTCCTTAGGTTTAGCCAAGCTGTTCTCATCATCTGGAATGCACCCCCACCACCTTAAAGTACCATATGAAAGTAGATATTAATAATTACTAATTTTAAGCATTGGGAGGCAGGGATGAATATATATGAAAGAACCTAGTTGGGGAACTGAAACAAGTCTGGTTCAAATAAAACCCCTTCTTTGTTTTTATCTGCCTATCCCTCTACTTGTCAGGCTTATAAAATTCAAAGATTTATAGCATTATGTGCTTACAGTAAATTCTAAAATCAATACAGGTTTAATTGCCAATAATCAGTTTACTGAGAGGAGAGTAAATTGGTAGTAAAGGAGGCCACAGAGAAGAAAACTGAGAAAAGCTAGAAGTGGTTGCTGACGTTACTAACCTTCCTCCCACTTGGGAAGGCAAAGCCATTGATGTTAGACCTAGGTTCCCATCTCAGCTCTGGGGCATTGAGTAACTGAGGTCATGGCTATGCACTTCCTAAATTTCCCTTCAAGAAAATAACTTGCCATTCAGCTGTGAGAAGTGCAGTTACCTGATAACCTCCAACTGCAGTGACTTTGGGACCTGCCACAGCATTAGCACTGAGGCCACACACTTCCCAGGCAACCCCTAGGCAATGGCCAGGCATAGTGGAGTCACTAGAGTCTGGCCATTTCTGCCCAACATTGGAGGCCTTTCTGGGCAACCTTTGTGCTGGAGACTTGCCCAGAGCTGCGCTACAGTCTGAGGCTCTTCCCATCTCCTCTTCCTCCCTCAGCCCAGCCTTTTACCTCTCTGCCCCATCCTGCTTGCTTGCATCTTCATCTTTCATAGATGTTACTTCTTTTTTTCTTTTCTTTTTTTTTTTTTTTTTTTTTTTGAGACGGAGTTTCGCTCTTGTTACCCAGGCTGGAGTGCAATGGCGCCATCTCAGCTCACCGCAACCTCCGCCTCCTGGGTTCAAGCAATTCTCCTGCCTCAGCCTCCTGAGTAGCTGGGATTACAGGCACACGCCACCATGCCCAGCTAATGTTTTGTATTTTTAGTAGAGATGGGGTTTCACCATGTTGACCAGGATGGTCTCGATCTCTCGACCTCGTGATCCACCCGCCTCGGCCTCCCAAAGTGCTAGGATTACAGGCTTGAGCTACCGCGCCCGGCCCAGATGTTACTTCTAATAGATCTCTTGTACATCTAACTCTATCCTGGCATTTGGTTCCAAGGGAACACTCTCAACACAGCAAGTTAACCAAATTGTATTTCCTTGTCCCTAAAAATGATACCATATTCTTGACTAGATGTGTAAAGATTAAATATTATCTACACAGATTTCTGCATGTAGGAGGCAGTTGATGGGAGAACCGAGCAGGTGGGTGGAGAGTGAGGGGCAGAGGAACTATCTTGACCTTCTCTAGTAATTACAAGTACTTAATCTTATGTTCTTCTTTATAGCACATTTTTCTAGGGGCTAGAGAGAGAGAAATAGGTTTCCAAATGCTAGGGGGATACAAAGGAGAGGGTAAATGCTGTATGGGGATCAGCCACAGAACTGCCATGGAGTGGGGTCACACTTGACTCCTTTCCAGTAGTAGAATCTTCCCAGAGGACTTTTCCTAAGAAAATCTTAGTTGTGTCCCTTTCAAAATGACATTTTTAATTGCACCCAGGAATGGGCTTTCACCAAACACCCTGCCTCCTTGTCCTGGTGGTGATTTTGATGATTAAATTGACTCAGCATTAACCTTGAACATTTCAAAACCAAGTAACAGGAAATGTGGATTGTCCTCTAATGTCTCTTTAAACTTAGAGGGTTTATCCTAATAGATATTAGCTGATTTGATGGCAGAAAATAGGCCTATCTAAGCACTGTGCAAACACTTAGAAGAAATTAATAAATGCACCTCATACTCGTACATGAGAAATGCTACGATTATTACAATGAAGAAACAAAAGTAAGACACAATAGAACAAGAATACATTCCATGGGACAATGAAAACCAAAAAAATGTATAACCTTTTTTTGTTGTTGTTCTATAATCAAGTTCCTTACAGAGTAAAACAATATTAATAATAAATGGGAAAAAAAGAAGAAAAAGCCAGACATGAAAGCAGCATTTCACTCCATCAACATGGGTGGCTTCTCCACCCTCCTCAAAAGAAGAGTAGAATTGCGATCTTTTATGTTCCAAAGGTGTTTACTTACTTAGCCACACATACCATGGGCCCACTCCTCACTGGCTTTGATATACCTAGCATGGTCTAAAGAAGTGTCAGACTAACTCATCTTACAAAAGGAGCCACTTCATAATAAAAAGAGCTGTGCAAGTAGCTCATTTCATCTTAATTAGCCCAAGTTGATGCTTCTGAAGTGCTGTGCCTTCTTATCTATCCTTTCTGCCGCAAGGGAAGAAGACTTTGACATCTTTAACAACCCAGCCTCAGGAACCAGAATCAGGACTGGCAGATCTTTCATTGGTATTGTCAAAGAAAGCTGTAAAAATGGGTGCCTAAAATGAATTTGCCTCTGTATTGGAATAAGCGATCATGTGCAGTGTGAGAGGGCTGGAAAGTGACTTTTAGCATCTGTGTTCAACAATGGATATCAGGCAACTACTGTGTGACAGGCAGATGCCAGACCCTAGAGGGGAGAACAATACATGTCCCTGCCATCAGAGAACCTATGTTGATTGAATTAGAAAGAAAAGGGAAGCAATGGTTGAAAGTGAAAATGCAGATGACATTTTTACTTTAGAAATGCATTAGTTACTTGTAACAAGTCTGCCCCCCTCTTTTCAATGATCTGCTTGAGACCAATGGTAGTCAACAGGTTAGACTGAGAAAACTTCAGAGGTCTCTCTGTGGTATTTTGTTTCCACGTGGCACCAGCAACAGTGTCCTCAGTGGCCTTGAGTGTTTGTGCAACCAGAAAATAGGAGCAGAAATGCCCCCCCCACTCCAATTTAGTCAGCATCCCATGTAACCTGCCAGCTGGGTAGCCACCCCAGGCCTCTGCCATTAACTTCATTTACACATTGTTCTCACTCAGCCACTCACAGGAAGGCTTCTTTATGAAAGCACTGCAAACACTATGTGTGAAAAAATACAGATGGTATAAATAGCTTTTCACTTCTAATTGCAACTTGCCGCTCACATTTTATTTCCTGAGAGCTCTGAAAAGAGACCGATCCAAACCACTAATAGCACAGGAGCTCTGGGAGGGTGAGTCAGTGTCTACTGCTGAGCAAGAACAAAGATGAAGAGAGAACGGTAGGAGTCCCAGAAGGCCATTTCAGGCTTGAAGGAGTACGTTTCTGCAGGGTAGCGCCCAGCTAGACAAACAGGGGAGGGTTTCCCGAGTACCTGATAGGTCAGCTCTTTGATGCATCGCTCTAGTCTGCGGGCTCCCCTCTGGGCCTCTGCACTGCGACGGATTTCACCCTCCAGTTCACCTTCCAGTTCATGAACCTGCAACCAAAATGCGACCTCAGACCACACGCTGCCAGCAAGGCTGGCGTTCTATTTGCCAGTTGGCACAATCATTTGAAAGACAGCAAAGTAGTCAAGGGAACATGCATACACTCTGTTTCTGGTAGTGCTCAAACAGGGCAATGTCTCGGGGAAAACTCTCGCCAAAAGTGAGATCGTTTATGGGTTCACAAAAAAACTGTTTAGACTCTGAAATATGTGAAAGGCTCATTCACATAGGCAGGAGAAGCTTCTTGAATTACAAAATCACACCCAAAGTGTATGTATGAATGTATATGTAAGTACAGAGAGTAAGCAATGTGTAGTCCACTTGAGGATTTGGTCAACGTACTACCTAATCTTAAGCTGCTTTCCCTATGTTCAGCTCTGACTCTCTAAAGAAATCAGATGCCAAGTTGATCTCACAGACATGTCACCCATAGCCCTACAGTCCTGCTTTGTGGGAAAGCTATCATACAGATGAACTGCCTGCAGCCTTATGTAGTCACACAAACAAGCTTAACATAACATTCATTCAACGCAGGTGCCTACCACATACCACACCCCAGTGCTAGGAATACAGCAGTGAACAAAACAGACAAAAATCTCTTCCCTGAATTAGCATAGATTCTAATGAGGGGAAGCAGACAGACAAAACAAAGTAAAATGTAGGCTATGTTTGATGGGGATAAGTGCCATAGAGAGAAATAATGCAGGAGAACAGGTAGGGAGCCGATGTTGGCTGCTCCCCATGCCTGGGGGGCTTTTTTCCTGCTTTCTCCCCGACTCCAATGCCACCTTCTCCAAGAGGACTTCCTGAGGACAGGAAGGCCAGTGCCCTGAGGCACGAATGTGCCTAGCACACCTGACCTCACCTCTTACTCCCCACTGGAGCCATTCTTCCCTCCTGTACCTCCTCAGAGACATGCAACGTGAAGAGATGGGAGCAAGTGTGCAACTTCCCTGTGGATGAAGCCCATTTAAAGCAATCTTCTGGCACCTGTCACATAGGAACTTGACACACAGTTCTATCTGTCGGGATGTGAGCTAATACAGGCCCCTCTACTTTTAAACACTTGTTAAGAATTTTGGGGGATTTTAAAAAGTGATTAAAACATGTTGGGGGGAAACTGCTTTACTAAAGCAATCCCGCACATCATGTAATTCCACCTCTAAATACTATTTGATATCATTCAAACAGGTAATGATGGTACCATGGTTGGGTCTTTAAGAATATTAGGCTGAGAGCGATGGCTCACACCTGTAATCCCAGCACTTTGGAGGCTGAGGTAGGCAGATCACTTGAGGTTGGGAGTTTGAGACCAGCCTGACCCACATGGAGAAACCCCATCTCTCCTAAAAATATAAAATTAGCCAGGTGTGGTGGTGCATGCCTGTAATCCCAGCTACTCAGAAGGCTGACGGAGGAGAATTGCTTGAACCCAGGAGGCAGACGTTGTGGTGAGCTGAGATCGCGCCATTGCACCCAAGCCTGGACAACAAGAGCGAAACTCCATCTCAAAAAATATATATATTAACCATAATTTCTTAGTATTATCTGATATTAAGGAGCTCACTGCTGGTTGTTGCTACTGAGTTATCACTGGTTCTAGTTTTTAATAGTGAACAAACAGCAATTAAAATAAAATCCCGCAATCTTAAAATTGAGTTGGAAAAACCATTTTCAAGTATTTTTTAGGGGAATAATGCATACTTTTTAAATTTTATACCTATATGCCTTCTCTCTTATACCTAAAATCTTGGTTCTTATATATGTCATTGGATAAACCATAGTCTTACTGCTAATGGCAATTAAATGTTGGTATTTTTATTTTGAAGTTATAAATGCATGTTTTTTGCCATTCTTTTGTAATTTTGTCCTTACACTGAGGGGTATAAGAACAAAACACTATATTTAAAAGTCACCAAGAATAATTATTACATGTGTATGTTTAGTGCCCCCAACTTTATATATAAAGTTAATTTCACTTGCCTCCATTGGTGTTAAAATTTTAGGACTGCTGAGATTTTTGACTTAAACATTTTAAATATAAAATATGCAAATGATTTATATGATTTTCTAATCAAAACAACAAGGTACATTAGGAAGGTCCAATTGTCATCTCTGTGTTATCCTCTTATATAGCTATTTTCATTTTGTAATTTATCCTGTTACCTTTTCATTTTGAAAATATAAGCAAAGTGTACACCTTCATATTCCCCTGCTTTCTTGAACAAAAGGGTATACGCTTTCTACACTGCCCTCACTTTTTAATCAGTATGACTATATGGAGGTACCTGAAATGGACGTTAGTATTCCATACATACATGTGCAAAGGTGAGACTTTATTTTTCAGAGGCTCTTTTGAACAATCGAATCATAGTTGAATATTCTTTCCATTCTTGTAGCATTTATCCTATGCCCTGTATGTAGTCATTAACATTGATTCAATAATTTTGCAAATCTTATTTTCAAGATGAGTTACTACTTGTTTTTAAGCTCCCTGAAGGCAGATACTACATCCATTCTGTCAGCCCTACTGTATCTTCTCTGAGTCTTTCTTGATCATTGATGTAGTTGTTTTCCCTCTCCTTTGTCTGGCTGTCAGAAAACGGGCATTCTCTGCCGAAGAAATAACAGGAGCTAAGGCAGAGAAGCCAGACTGTCAGGGGTATGTTTGGAAACAGCAGGTAGCCCTGGCGTGAGAGCCTGGCCCTGGTGAGGTGAGCAGGAAGGGCTGTATTGTCACTTAGCAAGAGGGAAAGCAGATTTCATCCAGTCTAAGGGAAGTCCTATGTGCTTACCCGAAGTCAAGCAAAGAATAAATGCATATATTGAGATCTAACACTCTTAAACATCTGAAAGTGCTAAAGCAAAGGTGGTAAAGGGTGTATGTGTTGGCGGGGGTGAATCTGGTGTCACATTCCAGGGCAAAGAGCCCTTGAATTGAGGGCTGTCAAGCTCTCATGATTACCCAAAATCTTACCCTGGATTCTAGTTTCTGAATTTGCTTTCTACTCCCCATCAGGGCCGTCTGTTCAGCTTCCGCCAGCCTTTTTTGTAAGTCTGTAATTGTCTGCTCCATATTTTCTCTCATCCTTTCCAAGTAGGCAATGGTGTCTTGCTTCTTCTTCAGTTCTTCTGACAAGTTTCCTGCCTAGGAGGGTATAAAAGGGACTGAGCTAGTTCAGCAATCAATTGATCTTAACATTTTTACCCATGATCTTCAGTTCCTGGTCTTACTGGCTGCCACACCTTGCCTCTGTATATGTGATCTCTTCCCATGATAATCTCCCTAACCACTACCACCCTCAACCCCTTTGTTAATAATAAGGCAATAGAGACAGCAGTAGCTGCAGGAGAGAACAGGGTAAGGAGTGGTAGAAACAGACCAAAGATGAAGAACCATATGAACATTATCACACAACAGCTGTAATAAAAGAAAGATGACCAACTGAAACAATGGCTTTTAATTGAAATGAAGCACTGGGACGATTTATTATTTAATAAAGTACTGGTGTCATGTTAATGCACCAGAAAAGGTATGGAGAAAGTGCCTACAAAAATCTTTCACATCTCACTTCTGTAATTCTGTGATTCACTACACAAACAAGTTTGGCTCCAGGAATTTGGCAGTAACAGACGCTCTCACTGCCAATAATCTGGCATGAAAAAGGTTAATTGTGAAGCCTGCTCTTGGCTTTGGCTATGTGTACAAGGGCTTGGTGTCTCAATACAATCATTAGAAGTGTTTTGAGAATCTCTAGGTGCATTTAATGTAAGAACATGGCTCTCACAGCCAAAGCTTTTCTGTCTATCAGGTTACCAACCATCTGCAGAATTTAAGTGTGAGACGTCTATGCAGATGGTGAGGGCAAAGAAAGCATTACATTCTGTGATGTGGGGTTGGGTCTTAGAGCTAAACTGTGGGAGGTTTGGAGGGTAGGGGTAAGAGATGAGTTCACTTTTCAGCACTGTCAAGAAAATGTTATCCAGGCAAGATTAAGCAGACAGCGTCTTCACAATGTAGGATTGCATAAATTTATCAAACAGGAGCAGAAGCTCTTTTTATTCCTTTCTACCTATGTGGATTTTCATAAATGTTACACATATTGTTTTCTCCCTTGGCCATCAAACATCTTCAAGCATTTATATACCTCATTTTCATCAGAGATCAGAATATCTGTCTTGATACAAAATGGCTGAGTGACAGGTATGATTGCCTTTCTTAGAGGGAGCCAGATTCTCCAATGATTAGGTGGCTGGGATTTGGTGCAATGGTTTGTCTAGTTCCCCAAGTGCTGAATAACTTGAGCAAATGTAGACACAAAGCTCTTCACCTCCTTTGAATGTTAAAATGACTAATGTAAAATAGAAGCAAATGTCCTGTCTCCCAGTTTAGCATGGGATCTGCTTCCCTTCATGTGGCAGGATCAGGGCTGTTGCTTGTGGTTGTGCATTTGATGGGCTGAACAAAAACCCTTGATGGAGAAGGGGTGCGCAGAGACAGAAACAAAACCTGAGCCCCACCCTTCAAGCTCTGGGACCTTCAAAGCTGTATCTGCCACACACAAACCTCCCTCTCCATGAATATATTTTGCCCAGTGGTACCTTCTGCTAACCATGCCCTTTGAGAGAAGTGCTGCATCTGCCCACAGGGGGTGCCCAGAGGGTGGCCTTTTTTCAGTCCCCACAAAGGTGCACCAAGACTGGCAGCCAACTCTGAGCTCAGTGTCATTTAGGAAAATCACTGCCATCAACAAATGGAAAATAAAGAAAGTACAGCAGCCCTGAAACCCTTTTTCACTCACCTGATTTTGCTCTTCAAGCAGTAGTACAGGTTGTAAAAAAAAATAAGTGAATTAAGCATTCTTTCCAAATCATCATCATAAAACTGTTATAGACACTAGGAAAAATAGCTATTTGTAAGAAAACACATAAAGAATTGTTTCTAGACACTAGATATATTGATTCACAAATGAAAAGTGGCTTAGCCGAAATAAAAGACAACTCCTGCTTTTATATGGTTTTGCTTATAGCAATTCAGCTGCTCCTTTTCATCACCATAGTACATTGGTGGGGAGGAGCTAATTGGCCTAATTTTTCAAAATGAGAAGAGAGAGGCAGAGAGGTCAGCTTACCTCCTCTCGGCTGTATGTGGAATCGATGGAATACCTTTTGGCTGTAGACGTGCACCCACCCCTTGGCCACTGTGCCAGTGAACTCTGGGAGACAGGATTGCATAGGCAGTCAATGGACCCACCTCAATGGCTGCTTTCTTGGCCTTCTCTTCTGCATTTTGACACTCCTGCACCATCTGTTCGGCTTCTTTCTGCATCCGGGCAACATCAGCCTCCAGTTTCTTCTTCTGGCTGAGGAGGCTCGTGTTCTAAAGAAAAACAGTATTCCTATTAGGCAAGTAAAAATCAGCAATGCAAATGCAAGCTGGTCTGTTCAGAACATGCAATGGGAGTCAGCTCTGACCAGAAGCAAACTGTATTATAGTCAGCCATATCCACTTATGCAATGCTTCCAACCCCTAAAGGCTTCTGCCATCAAAGTTGAATGGAAGGGATTTCATCTATTAGAGGTTCAGGATTAAAGAGGTGGCAGCCTGAATCTGAAGGGAGGAATGGTATCTAGATAACCTACAAACTCAAAACATGTGTCTGGTTTTCAGTGGGTTGAGGAAATGTTTCTCTGCCATTTGGATGTGGTAGAAACAAGTGTTCTAGAGCAGAAGTTGGGGTAAACTGCAGATATCTGAGGAGGAGAGGCTGGGAATGAAAACAATAACTCTCAGCATGCTGCTCCAGAAACAAACAAACAAAAATGCCTCCTCTTTACCTACTTCCCTTCCTATCTTACTTTACAGAGAAGAGGTGAGGAAGGTGGCTCAGAAGCAGCCCCTTCCTCCAGCCCTTAGGAACCCTCATTATGATGGAGGATTCAGTGTTCTACTGTTGGTGCTGCCCTAATTCTTTCCTTCCTGAGTTGTGACACTAGAGGCCAAATATCCTTTTGCTGCTATTCAGTCTGTGTTTGAAGCCCAGCTTTTCCGAGGGTGTGAAAACTCACAGTGTATGTAAAAAACATAGACTTTCTATTTTTTATTTCTCCCTTCACTTTATCCATTTCACATTCACTTGCCTCCAGCTAGTGCCTTTCTCTGTAGCAGGATGAAAACTTGGAAACAGAAGGGTATTCCAAGCCAGGTATGGTGGCTCATGCCTGTAATCCCAACACTTTAGGAGGATAAAGCTGGTAAATATCCTGGGCTCAGGAGTTTGAGACCAGCCTGGGCAACACATGGCAAAGTCCCATCCCTACCAAAACTTTTGCCAAAAATAGCCAGGTGTGGTGCTGCACACCTGTGGTCCCAGTTACTCAGGAGGCCGAGGTGGGAGGATTGCTTGAGCCGAGATTGCACCATTGCACTCCAACCTGAGTGACAACATGAGACTCTGTCTCAAAAAAATAAGAAAAATACAAAAATAAAATAAATTGATATTCCAGCATCACTGGTCCTATCTACCCCACTTTCTCTACGGCATGACGCATTTTTATCGAGACCACCATCCATTTGTCCTTATGGAGAGCCAGGCCCTGTATATCTCCACTGGTTTCCATTGCCATGGCCTGAGAGATGGGGTGAAAATAAGTTGTATTTTCTTGGAGTGTTTTTTTGGATGCTTACAACGTAGACTACATAGAAACTATTCTTTGCAGAGGAAGACACAAGTACAAATACTAATTTGTTTGCACATAGAATCATTTAAAATTTGCTAAAGAGACAAGGGTTTAAATCTCTGCAAACTGAATTATTCTCTAATTTATTTATTTGATCTATTATTTATTTATTTATTTATTTATTTATTTTGGAAAAAGGGAGTTAGGGGGTGTTTTGCCGAAAGGGAATCTAGATTGGTACTGCTCAGGTCTGAAAAATGCACTTGTAATCAAAGATAAGCTTAGCCTCATGTGTTGGTTCTAGGCTAGAGGTCTGGAAATGCAGGAGGTAGCTAAGAAAGCTCCCTAAAATGTTCAATGTGTTTTGCTTGATAATGTTCTAGTAGCAGGGAGGTGACCCAGCATGGTTTAGGTTGGGGAGAGATCCTCATGAATAACATAATATCACCTAGACCAGTGCTGGGCAAAGGGTAGGCTTTGTATGAGCAGTAGCACCTGAGAACTTGTTCACTTTCTAGGTCCCATTGCAGAGCTTCAGATTTAGTGGATCCAGGGTGAGATCTGAGAATTTACATTTTTATTTTAGGGATTCTTATATGTACACATCAAGTTTCAGAAGCTCTGCCCTAGCCACCAGGTCTCTACTGCCTTATTTTCTTCTTCCCCAAATCCTCTCCTCTCTGAGCCTGATTTTTCTTTCGCTGATCCTCATCTCTCTCTAAGCTAGGGACTTAGAATCATATTGGATCCCAGTGGCGCATTACCATATACGATATGCATGGCAAATAATTTGTTACCAGTAGCAATTAAGTACTATAGACCAGCGATCCCCAAGTCTTTTGGTTTCATGGAAGAAAATTTTTCCACAGACCAGGTAGGGGGATCGGGTAGGGGATGGATTCGGGATGAAACGGTTCCACCTCAGATCATCAGGCATCAGATCCTCATAAGGAGCATGCAACCTAGATCTCTCACGGGAGCAGTTCACAGTAGCGTTTACGCGCCTATGAGAATCTAGTGCTTCTGCTGATCTGACAGGAGGCAGAGCTCACTCCCCCACAGCTCACCTCCTGCTGTGGAGCCCAGTCCTTAACAGGCCCCACACCTGTACTGGTCTGTGGCCCCGGGGTTGGGGAGCCCTACTCTAGACAGTGGATGAGTTACTTTTTTAAAAAGTACATAATCCATTTTGTAAGAATCCATCTCATTGTATTTAGATAAACTTTCTTGAAGGAGAAAAACAATGTTTAAGTTAGCCTGTTGGGAATTACATGTAACCTGCAGACTATCTGTTCTATACTACATGGTATCCAGATGGGACTGTGTCATATGCAGGGACACAGAAGTCAAACTGCTAGGCACAAACTAATTACAACATCTTTCAACAGGCCCATTTCTGGTTTATACATTGTTTTATCCAGTATTTTTCAGTGGGAAGACAATTGGCATTCCTGAAGGGGCAGTTCCTTGGGATTATCCTTCACCTTGAAGGGGTTTTGGTATCTCTGGACCCTGCTCACTAAATAACCAGTGGTACTTCTCAGTCATTGTGGCAACCAAAATGATCCCACAGATGTTTCTAAATGCCCCAGAGTGTAGCAGTTCTGCCACTAGGTGCTTTAATCCATCCTTCACAATAATCAACAGAGTAAAACTTCCTAAAATGCAAATCAGATAACTTCACTCTTAGCTACTCAAAATTCTCCAGCAGATCTCCATGGGCTGCAGGATAAAATTCAAACTCCATCAGTCGCAGGCTCAGGGTCCCTGGTGGCCTGGCCCTACCTGTCTCAGCATGAGGTCTGCTCCTTCTGGCTACCCACCCTATCTTCCAGCATTTGAATTTCCCGTAGAATCCCAAATTGCTTCTCCCCACCCCCATGCCTCTGCCTGTGACTTTTCTCTCTACCTGGCTAGCTTCTTACATGTCCTTCATGACTCAGATGAAACATACTGTGCATCTACCTAATTCTTGGATTGTCAGGGAGGGCTTTCCGAAGGTGTGTGTTTGCTCGATCATTATACTCTTAAAAGTGTACCAGGTGATGGGTAGGAAGGCAGCAAACCACATTGCCATGTATGTACGTATGCAACAATCTTGCATGTTCTTCCCATGTACCCCTAAACCTAAAACACAATAACATATATATTTTTAAATCCAATCTGAAACTGAAAAAAAAAAAGCATGCTACAATTGTTTACTTTGATCTTCACTTTTTAAAGACAGTAGAGACATTCTGTATCTATACCATGCATACCTTCCCAGGTTATGGGGGAGGAGCCTACAAACACTTCCCACACAACCCACTTACTATAGATGCCTGTCCTAGTAACTATGGCTTCTTACGATTCTAGGAGAAGAAGGATCTAAGGATTCTTGCTTCATGTCACTTACATAACCTTCCATTAGAAGCCAGAGTCTGAACAGCTTGTCATATGTCAGCTGCCATTCAGAATTGTTAGAGCTCTCCTGGCTCTAAGGCAACAGGATTCTTTTTATCCTGAGATGCTGGGGAAGCATGTGGCTTAAAGGGAACAGGAGAACCAGGAGCAGGACTGACTAGTTCTGGAACATTAGGGACATCCAGCATCCTGGTGATGGACGCCCTGAAAATCCACTCTTCTGGCCCAAGGCTTATCATTATGGGTTGAATTTTGTCTCTCACACACAAAAAGGTATGTTGAAGTCCTAACCCCCAATTTCTCAGAATGTGACCTTATTTGGAAATAGGGTCTTACTTTGTTTAAAAGGAAGCTGGGGAAAAAGGAGGCGGGGGGTACATGAGTTAAAATGAGGCTATTAGGGCGGACCTTAGTCAAATGACTGGTATCCCTATAAAAAGTGGTGATTTGGACAGTGACAGACCCTCACAGAGGGAAGATGCTGTGAAGACACAGGGAGAACACCACGTGAAGGTGAAGGAGTGGAATGATGCATCCAGAAGCCAAGGAATGCCACAGATAGCCAGGAAACCACCAGAAGCTAGGAAGGGGCAAGGGAGGATTTCCCTACAGCTTTCAGTGGGAGCATGGCCCTGCTGACACTTTGACTGCAGGCTTCCAACCTCCAGGAGTGTGGAAAATAAACTTCTGTTGTTTTATGCCACCCTGTTTGTGGTACTTTGTTATGGCAGCCTGAGGGAACCGATATGCTTGAGAACGAATGAAGGGTATGACCGCGGCTCTGCTGCACAGGCTGTCCTTGTGCTTCACAGGCACATCCAAGACTTAACAAGGCAGCCGTGCATGGTCCAAGGCTGCCCCAAGCGTGGGGACCATGGCCTGGAGACACAACTCTCCTAGAATAAAATGGTTATCTTTCTCTAGGAGTTTCAGAGTACGCGTAAGGATTGACTGAGAAAACCAACTGGCCCAGGTAATAGGGAGAATACATGGGCCCCACCTGGGTGTAGAAAAGACTGATTCTTTCTGTCGCGCCCAGGAGCTCTTGTTCTGACAGCCTGCAGCCACGCTCTGTCTGCTCTTGCAAGGACCTTAGTTCCTCTAGTTCAGACTGAAGAAGAGAGTTGCGCCGCTCAGCCATAGCCACCTGCTCCTTCAGATCAGCGTTCAGTTGTGTGCTGTCATCCAGCTGCATTTGAAGGTCCTGGGAGAGAAAACATGGGTGTGGAGCACAGATCCCTCTAAGTTCAACATGGACTATGCACCTATGCAATATGTTCCGACCATAGTTTCACGTATTTGGACATAAGGATGCTCCTTCTCTCTGGAAAGATTAGATTTGTTGTCCTCATCTGTATTGCTGAACACAATCAGAAACATTTCCCACCCCTCTCTACCCCATCTTACAGTTTTAAAATACCTTGATTTGCATCTGAAGGTGGCCCAGGGATTTGGTTGCCTCTGACACCTGCCGGTTGGCACAGCTAAGCTGGAGTTCCATCTCATTGAGGTCGTCTTCCATCTTCTTCTTGATCCGGGTTGCCTCAACTCTGCTCTTAGCTTCAGAATCCAGACTAGACTGCAGGTAGTCAATGGTACACTGCTGTTTCCTCCTAATTTGAAATAACATTTGCAGTGGGGGAAATGACACACCCAAATTAATCAAATTTACCTTCTAGGTTTAAAACAGTACAAGAAACATGACAAAAAATTAAAATCTAAGAAAAATTCTAAGTAACTAAAAAAAATGAATCTAAGGGTTTTTGTTTTAAAACAGAGAGAATGAGAAGTTAGGTTAGTGAGTATATGTCCACCATAATGGACTAAGTAAGTTTTTCAGACCAACTTCCCTGAAGAATCCAGGAAAATACCAAAAGCTTTTCAAGGTTCCTGTGGGGAAGCTTTAGTTTTATCTGAGATTCCCTAAAGGATTATCTAGGGCAAGCACCTGGGTTTCCTTGGACGGCTAAGGATGAAGGAAGGAAGCTCTTTCAGACAGCCATAATATTTAAACTACTTTCAATGGTGAAAAATATCTGAATAAGGCAGGAAAAAGTCACTCCGGTTGGAACAATTCCTGAGATGCAGCAATACTGCTATAATAGCCTGGAGACACAACTCTCCTAGAATAAAATGATTATCTTTCTCTAGGAGTTTCAGAGTATACCCAAGGATTGGCCGAGAAAACTAATTGTGTGATATTGAATTACTTTAACACTTCACATTAAAACTAGAACTAAAAACGTATTTGCAAAGTGACAGAAGAATGATAGCTATGTGTTTAGGATGGCAATAAAAACAAAAAATTGGGGAAAACCACGGGAATTTTTATTTCCCAAACTGTTTGTAGTTTGAGACCACGTGACCGGATTCTGGTAATTGCACTGTGGGCAGTAATGAAGTTTACCATGCCATGGCTGGCCCATAAGACATGTTCACTTGTGAGATCCTGCACTCACCCTTCCCCATTTTTACCAAACTTGATGGCCACATGTGGAAGGTCATGAAATCACAAAATGGAAAGAACCCGGGTCTTCTAATGACTTTGAATGTTATTGACCCACTCTTCATCCTACCTCACACTGGACTCAGACACAGGCAAAAATAAACTTCTGTTTAAGTCATCAGGATTTGGTGGTTAGGACAGTTTAACTGCTGTAATTAACACATGCCCTGTTAAGCCCAAATCATGAAACAGGGAGCTGGTGCTGGACAGATAATAGAGAACAGAGGAGGCAAAAGCCTTTCTATTCTTCTTTCTCATAGAGCCTATCTGCACAGATTAGATTAGATCAGAATTAGATCCCATGCTGAATTGTCATCAAACCAGTCCTGAGCTCTGTGAGGTCGATCAAGAAGGCATACAGGCTGGGACACGGTGGCCCAAGCCTATAATCCCAGCACGTTGGGAGGCCAAGGCAGACAGATCACTTAAGGTCAGGAGTTTGAGACCAGCCTGGCCAACAGGGTGAAATCCTATCTCTACTAAAAATACAAAAGTTAGCTGGGTATGGTGGCGGGTACCTGTAGTCTAACTACTTGAGAGGCTGAGTCAAGAGAATCACTTGAACCCAGGAGGCAGAGGTTGCAGTGAGCTGAGTTTGCACCATTGCACTCCAGCCTGGGTGACAGAGTGGGACTCTGTCTCTAAATAAATAAATAAATAAATAAGAAGGCATATGGCCTACAGGAGGAGAAGAGGGGTCAGAGTTTGAAGTTGATTGACAGGTGGAGGTGCTACTTTTCATGACCCCCATTCTGCCCATCGGTAAGGTAGTCCTCAAAGCAATTACAGAAATGTACAGAAATTAACTCTGTCTGGCTCCAGAGCCCAGTGTGAGCACCTGTCCTCTGCCAGCCCCCTCTCCCTGGGCCTCACAAGCTGAGGTTGGTATCTCATGCCTATCCTTAGGCTCTGGGCTTTTGTTTGGCTTCCAGATCAGAATCCTATAGGGATCCTAGTACGTTAGTTAATATGGACTTTTAGGGACTGCATTATGTGCCCCCCTCCGCCCCACAAAATTCCTATGTTCTTGCCCTAACCCTCAAGACTTCAGAATGTGATTACATTTGGAGACAGGGCCTTTAAAGTTGTAATTAAGATTAAATGAGGCTGTTAGAGCAGGGCCCTAATCCAACGGGACCAGTTTGTGTCCTTATTAGAAGAGGAGGAGACATAGGGATGCATGTGCACAGCGGAAAGAACAGATGAGGACACAGGGAAAAGGTGACCATCTGCAAGCCAAGGAGCGGCCTGGGGAGAAACCAAACCTACCAACACTTTGATCTTGAACCTTTAGTCTCCAGAGCTGTAAGGAAATACATTTCCGCTGTTGAAGTCACATATCTGTGCATTTTGTTATGACAGCCATAGTAAACCAGTACAGGGATGCTCACACTCCACATCACCAGAAGCTGTCAGACACTTATCTATCCTACACTGGGAAACTCTCATTTTTGCCACAGCAGACTCTCCTTACACAGAAACACTGAAGCATCTCCAGCCTGATGTCAAAACCCTTTGAACAGAAATACATTCTACTTAAGCAGAGAAACTGCATGTTTCAAACTACGCTTTTCCCACAGTTGTTTATGAAACTTCATGAGTGCCTGCAGACAAGTAAAAAGTGTGATGGTTTAAGAGGCGTGGGTATAACACAGTCCTGGAGAATGGCTGCTAAACAATCAACACATTTCATACAAGAAATCTTTAAAATGAAAGCTCCCTCAAGTACATTCTTTAAGAAAAATGATGTATTCAGGACCAAGGGCAATATAGGAAGAAGTAAGTACCTTCTTTTTCCTAAAACGTAAAATCTAATTTAAGAAACCAAACGCAAAGAAAAATCAAGACGACAGAACTTTGAAGAGCTAATGATTTAAAATCATTATCTCATCATTTAAATCACTTGACAATCCAATAGGTCATTTATTTCCCTCCAATATTGTTCATCTATATTGGAGAAATAGAAGATTTTTTTTCTTAATCCAAATACACATGAGCTAGCTTTAAAATAATTAACAAGTTATTTTGCTACCATGTGAGTATGAGATTCTAATTTTCAAAGACACTCAAAAATATTTTACTTAAAAGTGGGAAGAACTGTGAGCATATTCTGGCAGAGATACCCTCAGACAATAAAAGAAACCAAGTCAGGTGGTGTATATAAATTAAGACCACGTGACAAAGTTTGACATGACTGAGTTCAGAGAAGCGGACTTTACAGAAGGAAAATACAATGGAACATTATTGCATACTTGAGGCTCTAGGCCAGGGGTGGGAAACCTATGGGCTGTGAGCCAAATTCCACCACAGCAGTTTATTTCCTATTCTCTATGGTTGTTTTCAACCTACAACTACAGTGTCAAGCAGTGGCCGCGTCTCTGGCCAACAAAACATGTATCTAGCAAAGCAGACAATATTTAACATCTGACCCTTTACAGAAAAAGGTTGCCTAGCCTTTCCGTTGGTGATCAAGCCAAAACAAACAAATGCAGTATGATAGAATAAGGAATGTCAGTGCCTCATTCCCAGAAACACCTCTCTGGGTTTGTCTGGGAGAGCAGAATATGGCTCAGAAAGACCACAGCTGTGAACCAGAGTGATGACTCTCACATTTCAACATTTCCTCCAATCAGAGAATTCCCTGAAGATGCAGGATGCACCTGACCAACATTTTGGCAGCCTAGTCTTGGGCCAGGCAGTAGGGTTTGACTGACATAGCAATTACGGCAATGAGCTGGCCTTCAAACTGGCCTTGTTCCCTGTGTCTAATAAGATGGGAAGATCAAGTCCAGCTACCAGCTCTTCCTCTCCTTCCATCAGTGACTGCACTGTCATCTCCCTACCTCTACCTATGCCAACTATGACATTATTTATTTATTTATTATAGAAATAAATAGAATACTCTGTCCGAAACTGTCTGTGAAGTTTTGGATAGAGTATGACGCACAGTGTCTGGTGAACATTAAGCATTCCAATATCTGTTCACCAAGTAAAACATATCACACACATCTGCTTGTACTTTTCACCACCCACAGGCCTCCAGGCTGGGCTCATTCAGAATCAGTCCTGACCAGAGTGGAAGAGAGGGCCTGGCAGCAGAGAATGAGTTGAATGAGTTGCCTGGTTTGTGGCAGTATCAGGATTTTGCCTTTGCCTTTGGGTCTCTTTCTCTTGATTTCTTGGTCCCTTTGCCTTACTTACCAGGTCCTGTCTTACCGGGGTCCCTCAGTTTGTGTGGAGTTAATGATAGGTTATATGGGCATTGACCTTGAACCTGTTCTTGCCCTTAGGCAATATTTTCCTTGTTCTATGACTTCCCTGGCTTATTCTTGATTGTTCAGAATCTTGTGCTTGGCTTATTTGTTTCCCCTGGCATTCTGCTCAGTTTCCTTAAGATGCCCTGCTAGCCCCAAAGTCAAATTAAACTATCAGACTAAACCATGACATTTTGATACAATCCGTGCTCAGAGTAGAAAGGGCCTGGGCTGGTATTTGTAATGTAAGATAAGCTCATCTTTTCTTTCTGGATGTACCTATTATAGTTATTATGAATCATTAACTAAATTTTATAAATAGCTGGTCCCCTGCCTCCAGCCCACCCCTCCTTTTCTCAGTCCCTTCATGGCTCATGCCTGCTCTTCAATTCTTTCTTCTTCCAGCCCTAGCTCTTTGGATCTCTGGCTTTTTTCACACTAATATTATTATAATTGGCAAACTGCTCTACGACATTCAGATGTACCTGACGAGACACAGGCTCTCTGAGGATTCATTCGTCCTCAGCTGGGTTTATTTATAGGCACAGGTCTGATATTACTTGAAATCAGTGTTATTTGTTGCTTTTTTTTAATCTGCACAAGGAGACATTCATTTTTATTCCTTGTGGAAATAAGTAGGGCAAATATCAAGGCCCAAGGTTTTGCCCTTCATCAAAAAAATTCTTTTAGACACTGACTCAGAGCCTCTTAAGTAGATCAGAATTGCTCACCACAGTCAGTCCTATAGAAGAAAATGCCAGTCAGTGAGAGCAGGGATAACTCAAAGCACACAGAGGGCCAAATTTGGCTTGACATCCTCATTAAAAAATTGACCCCCTTGAGAGTTTTGTCTAAAAATGGGCTATGGGAAAGAGGTCAGTTCAATTGAACATGTTAACAGGGTTGTTGTTTTTTTTTTTAACTATTTAACAAATACATTGAAAGTAAGTTGCCAGTTGAACCTCAGGTTCAAATGATTTTTCTTGCTGACATATGGCATTGACTTAAGAGAACAGATTAGATAATATAATCATCGTTAATTCCAAGTGTTTATCATTGTGCCTTTGATCTATAGCATGTGAAGTGCTTGGCCAATATCAGCCTACTGATCTTCCTTCTGTGACATGTAGGGGCTGCTTTTATCCCCTCACTTCACCGAGAAGCTAAGAAGTGGAATGTCTAAAGTCATCAGCTTGCTATGAAAAAGCTAAGAAAAAATTCTGCAACCCATGAGTCCTGTCTAATTCAGTTTCCTGACTATGGAGACTCAGCTGCTTTAACAAGGATTCAATAAGCAGCTTAGCTTTTGGCTCCTGCTCCTCTTCAAACAAATTGTTATAGGTACAGGCAGGGGTTATGTGAAAACTTCACTCTCATCTGAAAGTACAGCATTGAATTTTTTGGCTTTTTCTCCATGGCTCAGCATTTTCAGTCAATTTCTTAACGCCAAAAATGTGGCATTACAGGGACACCCAGACAGTATACACAGTCCTTATACATATAATCATTCATTTGGTATTATCTTGAGTCTCACATGAGAGTAGAAGCTTCTCAAACATAAGAAAATTATAAAATCTGGCAATAATTGTGTATAGACATTCCTTTATATTAACAGTGGTGAGCTAAGTAAGCTAGTAAGTGTACCACTATTAATATAAAGGAATATCCATATACAATTGTGTATAAAGGGATAGCTAATTGTGTATAAAGGAATATTATAGATATTGTATATAGAAGAATCTAATATAGAGTTACACTAAGTTTCTCTGGTAAAACTCCAACAGGGGCCATAAAAGCAGCTGGACATAATGAACTCTGTTTAGTCAAGGATTCCGAAATACATACTTGTTACACATCAAAATCATCTTACATACCTAAAATTTTCTATTTCTTCATCTTTCTCTGAAAGCTTTCTTTCAAGTTCTGCTTTAGCTTCCGATAGCTCAAGCTGGAAACGAAGAATCTTGCTTTCATTCCGTTCCAGGGCTCCCTGGAATGCATAAATAAAAAGCATAAAATGAAGTCCACTTTTAGACAAAATTTTGTTTTTTTCCCAAAACATATGTGGCTAATGTGGCTCTCTTAGGGTTACTGGAAGAGATACAGGTTCAAGTCAGGTCCCTAGAGATTGCAACAGGGTGAGACAAGCAACTGCTTTCATTTGTCATTTCACTTATAGATTTGACATTCTTAGGTCTTTCAGCTGTAGCTCTAGAACAAGAATTTTAAAGTCTATTTTTAAATAGAAATTTTCAGTCTTGTCTGTGACTATATTTAAACTTTTTATTACTCTTGACTTCTTCTAACGTATTCCATCTTTGGGATAAATTTTAAAAAGTATCAGAGCTAGAACAAGGAAGGTGATAGCTCCTACCTGGAATCTTCTGTTAAATTCTGGACATCATGAGGGGATAGAGGAAAATTGGATGGCTGGATGCATTCAGAAAACAAACAATAGGGTAGTGTCCAAATATTGTCATATGAAGAACAAATAAAGGAATTTAGGATGTACCTGCTAGGTAACACCCAGCACGAGCCATTAACAACGTAATTGGTACCACTACTGCAAATGAATCGCTTTGACAGGAAGGAAGATTCCCTGCCCCTTTGTGTATTCAAATATAGTTAAGGCAATTATTGGCAGGGATGTTATAATTCAATTCTAAAAGCATAGGTTTAGCTAAATCTTTAAAGCCTGTCCTGAAGACAAAAATGTATATAAAAGAAGAAACCCCCAAAAAAACACTTGCAGAATACCAATGATAGAAGGGCATAAAGGGTGATGCAATTTTGTGGTCAGTTAGCTACAGGCAGTCCTAAGGGCAGAAGTAATTTTTTATAGCCTCTTTTGAGGAGTGCTTAGCCGACACCACCAAAAGAAAAAAGGAAAACTGAGTTGCAGTTTTAAAAAATATAAAAGATGATGGGAATTTTAATAAGACCTCCCTTCAAATTGCTTCAATATGAAAGGAAATAAAATTGCTAATACACATTCAAAAACAAATGCTTGGATAACAATTTCCTCAGAAGGAATGGTGTAGTTCCTTCAACGGGAAACTGTCACCTTTAACCCTCTAAAATGCACTAAGAAAGTGAATCTTTAGGGAAGATGACCTGGGATAATTTGAGTTTTATGGCTTTAAAAAAATCTGATAAAGTTTCTCATAAAGGCTCACCCAGGGAAATAAATAACACAACGTTACAAATACATGTCCAAGTTAATGAAGCATTTACGGATGTGGCTGAAGACAGAAGTAGAGAAAATGTGAACAGAATGCATTGCCACCTAGTGGTACTAAATGGTTTGGGTACAATGTCATCATATTCTCACCCTTGACGCAAGTGCTGATGGACTGAATATACAAAGATGCCGCTATGTTATACAGGACAAAAATTGCCCATGCCAATTTTATTTTTCATTGGCTTGTCATAGTGTTTGACATTTCTATCATAAAATGTATTTCTTTTAATTAAGGTGATGGCTTCAAAAAGTCCCTTGCCAGGAGCGCCAGAGAACCCAAGGGAACAAGTAAACAAAACGAAGTTCACCAACTGTATAAGGACCACCTGTGCTAGAGCACGCCACACTGCCAACAGCAAGGCATCTGTATAAAGTTAGATTGCCTCAGGAAACATGTATGCACAACAGCGCGAGAGCTGCTGCCTGTCAACTCCATACACAGGGTAATATGGACACATTTGCCTTCAGGTTTCTTCTGGAATCATAATGGTGAGGGAAATTTCACAGACAATCCTTGGCACAGAGCGGTTTGGGGTCTCGTTTTTCTACTACCATATCTTCCAAGAGACCCCTGCCTGACACTGATGGCCACACCTTTCGAAAATCTTTTTTTTTTTTCCTACTGGTGGGAGGATCAGGGCTGTATTTTAATGTGTCTGAGTACTTACTCAAAGGTTGAGTCAGGAAGATGAAATTCAGCTCTGAGAAAAGAGGCTAATCAGGGTTTCTTACTCAACTAAGAACCATGATGGAATGACCCTTGTTAGTTTACCTTCTTTGGCAAAACATCTTCTTAGAGGTCCTTTCAATTGCTAATGCACACTCAGAAATAAAGCCAGAGACTTTTCCTGAATGGTTAATCCATAACACTGAAAACTCTCCTGTCAATCTGCACAAAGATGAGCTTTCAGAAACAAATGTTTGACAACATCGCTTTGAATCTTATTTCTGAAACTACAGCAAGTTTTGGGGAGAAAAAAAAATTGTGAGGTTTTTTTGACTGACTCTTTAAGGAGGGGGCAGCTATGAGAATATTTATTCATTCATTCAACATTTGACAAATATTTACTGAGCCTCTACTACACACCAGACAATGTTTTAGGCCAGCGCTTCTCAAATATTAATGTGCATATGAACCACCAAGGGATCTTGTTAAAATGCAGATCCTGATTCAACAGAGATGGGCAGAGGGCTGAGATTCTGAATTTCTAATAACCTCCCAAGTGATGTCCATGGGCCACATGTTGAGTAGTGAGGGTCTGGGCTCTGGGGATAAACTGTTGAACAAGATAGACACAGTGCCTGTTTTTACTACAATCAGGAGATTTGCATTCACTGCTGTGTATCTTGCTGGGTCTCAATTTCCTCTTTTATAAAATGGGGACAGTAGTTTGCTATGGTGATTAGATTAAAATTACGCATTTGGCATAGTGCCTAGCATATAGTAAATAAGCACTTGAATGCATGTCATTCTGTTGTTGCCAAAATGCAGGTCTTCTGCTCTGTCACAGTGCAAACTTTCTTTCCTCCCTGGTGATGATACCTCTGTTTCTTCCAGCGTCACCTGGACTTCCGTCTTCTCTTGTTCCATCAGTTTCTTGACCTTTTCCATTTCAGTTAGGTTCTTGGTCCTTTCTCTAACCTGGTTTGTCAGATTCGAAATCTCTTCTGGAAGGAGAGGGAAAGAAAACAAAGTCAGTGAATGGGCTCAGTCTCAGACCAATGGTACCAGGCACGACAGGCTGTTCCAGCCCACTGGAGCAGTGGCCTCATGTCACCCTTGGTAACTTGATGACCTGTCCCATATGGGAGTGTAAAAGGGCATCCATTTTTTTCATATAGTCTTTTGCCATCTGAAAATTATCTACAACAAATGGTGAGGATGGTGCTTCACATAGTATTTGTACACTGGACAACCTTTGCAACTTTACATGACAGTCCTGCTCATTAGAGCCATTCCAGGTTCTACCTGGAGGAATACAGACCTGGAGTCCCTGCCCTTCCAGTGTAAGTGCTTAGCTGTCAACACTAGTAGCTGCCATTGTTTCAGGCACCACTCAACACTGAGGCAGGAACGTAAAGTAGAAGCTAAATCAATATCTGCCAGCATCCAAGGTGGGGCCCAAATAGGCCAGAGAATCAGAAGGGGCCCAAGGAAGACAGTGGCTTTAGCTCTAGCACTTGAGTGTTTTTTCCTAGGCTCTCATGAACATAAGCCTTTGACAAACCAAATAGGACATCCAGAAGTCACAAAACCTCTTCCACCTGATATTTATTGTCAGTTCTGCCTTTAGTACCTAAAAGGTGTAGCATAGGGCCAAGTAGCTCATGGAATTACCCAGTTCAGAGGTGGTGGAAGGAGCTCAATAGGTCACCGGCTCCTCTGGTTCTGAGATCCTGGGTTGTGATATGATACGATGAGAATTTTTAGAAGTTAAAAAGACAAATATGCTAGATGGAAATTTTCATCGCATAATAAATTGGTCTCTGATAAGTGCTCTCCTGAAGAGGGTTATCAAGAAAAAAATCAGGGAAGAGGTTCTCAACTCTGACCACAACCTGGAGAGCTTTGGAAAAAGCTCACTCAATATTCAAACCCTACCCCAGTCCAAAGGTGGTGCCCTGATCAGCAGCACTGGCCTCACCTGGAAAACCGTCAGAAATACAAATTCTTCAGACCTACTGAGTCAGAAACTCTGGGGGTGGGCCCCAGCCATCTGTGCTTTAACAAGTTCTCCAGTTGGTTTGGATGTAGCCAAAGTTTTCTAACCACTGTTTTAGCACCCCTCACGTGCCCAGCTAGTGCCTTGATCATAGATTATGTAGGTCAACAGAGAAAGTAAGTTTCATTTATGCCTCCAACAGTAATGAACTTGCTTCCAGGGCATCTCAGGGTTTTCATGCACATTGCTCTCGGTGCTGGGATAAATTGGCAGCCTCTTTGAAGGGCCATTTGGCAGTAAATCAAAATTTAAAATTCATTTCATTAACCCAGCAATTTCATTTCCAGGGATCCATCCTACTGAAATATTTTTACATGTGCATAAATACATGTACAAGCATGTATAATGTAGGATTATTCGTATTTGTGAATAATTGGATCTAAAATGAATAAAGTCTAGATAAGTGATAGCCATCATTATTAAAAAACACTAGCTATTAAAAAGCTTGTGGTAGGTCTCCATGTACAGGCATGCAAAGAGCCACAAGGTACGTGGGAAGCTTGCACAGCTCAGTAGTTACGTGTGTATATGCTGGAGCCGTGCTAGCTAGGCTCAAATCCCAGATCTGCAATTTATCAAATGTGAATTTGGACAAGTTACTCAACTTATGACCCATATCACCTCCATTTTACAGATGAGGAAACTAACACTAGACTCTTTTGAAAATTTAACGATAAATAAACAGTGCCCGTTCCATAGTATGGGCTATAGAAATAGTCATTATATCAGGAAATGTATTCATATATAAAAAAAATAAAAGGCGTAGAACAATGTATAAATTGGGCAAAAAATACACATGAGTATAGCACTCATGGAAAATCTTGCTAAAGTTGTGAATATCAAGACATTCTCAGCAGTGGCTTCCTTTACAGAGGGGGACTGAAGTTAAAGGCAGGAAGCTAGTCTTACATTTAGAATTAATTTAATACAAATAGCATCTAAAGTAAAAAAAAAATGTCAAGCAGAAGTATAAAAATTGAAAAGTTAAAACATGTTGGCAATGTGAAAACGCTGAAGACAGCCTTGCCTGTAGCCAGGGCTCTCCCTGTGCTACCCGCTCTGGCTTTGGCTCCAAGCCCAGCTCAGTGTACCTTGGAGGGTCTTGTTCTCCCTCCTGAGTGTCGCCTGGCCCACGATGCTCTCCTCGTAGGCGTGCTTGAGCTTGAGGAGCTCCGTGCTGAGAGCCTGGATCTCCTTCTGAGAGGCATCCAGCAACGCCTGCGACTCCTCGTGCTTCTGCTTCCAGTCGGCAAGGGCCTTGCCAGACTGCAGCTGCTTCTGGTCCAGCCTGGCTGCTGCAGAGCGGACCTTCCCGAGGTCAGACAGGGCATCCCCGAGCTCCAGCTGCAGCCGGTGCCTGGTTCTCTCCAAGGAGGCATTTCTGGCACTGGCCACCGCCATGGCTTCGGCTGCCTCCTGCAACCTAATTGCCAGTTTCTTCCTGAGAAAGGAGGACACCCAAAGAGTGAGTGAGGCAACGACTCTCAGAGAGCTCATCGAGTCTGCCCTGGATTAAAGATAGAGCTTGGGTGCAAAGCAGGATGGCCTCTAAGGTAGGCTTAGTGGTAAAAAGCAACAGCAGCTCCTATCTGAAAGGGACCTCATTGTCTGTGACCACCATCCTCTGCTTCCTGTGTGCACGGAGTTTTTATCTTCCCCCTTTGCAAGCCTGCACTTGGAACTCAGAATCTCTTGAATGCCTACAAATATTTGCTTCTCCTAAAGCTCTAATAAGTAATACTGATTTGATTATTTCCTAAGAAGAGGGGGGAAAGAAAGATTATACTGAATGCCCTCCCAACAGTAAGCACCTGACAAATCGGCAGCCATGGTAGTCACTCCTGAGCTCCCGCAGTGTTGCTTCTAAAGCACACTCTAGCTTTCTCCTGCTTATTCTGTCTTATCATGTGGCTCCTAAACATGACACAATTCTTTTCTCCAAGTTTGTTCTCCACCTCAGCTCCTCTCCCCAAATTTATATTCCCAAACCCATCTCACTATGCTCAGTTAACAGGTCCTACTGTTCTTAGGGGGTGCTTTAGCCCCCATCTGCTGTTCCTTTGGCATCTCTGAGATGGAGTGTCTATTACAGTGCTTCTCTCTCCCCCACCCCCATAACATGCTGCTATTAGGAATTCTAATGGCTGAAATGCGTTCTGTTGCTTACATCTCCTGCAGGGTTGCTGGCAATCCCATTCTTACTCATTCATTACACTTCTTAGATGAAAAGTACTGTACGTACCAAAGCTTTTTCTCATCTACTGCTATTCAACAGAAAAAGGTTCTCGGGAATTAACAGGACCGCATGACTAGCCCAACAGAGCAATGTGCTAATAAAGCCCCCTTTTGGTGGAATCCTGCAAAAACCCCTATGTGCTCAGGATCCAGGAAGGATCTAGGTTCTAACAACACTCTGCGCCTGGCTTTCTAACAACGGTCACATCACTTCTTTGCTTCACATTTCTTAAGTGTTAAGAGGAGATTCTGATACTTTACCTGACCTAAGGCAGGAGGAGTTGAGTGAAATAATTACACGCACACACCTACACACACACACACACACACACACACACACACACACACACACACATATATATATATATATATATATATATATATATAAAACTTTAGAAATGCTTGTTGATCAAAGAAAATAGGAGTTTTACTTTGGGTGACCAATCATACTGGATTGCCTGGGACTGAGGGGCTTCACTAGGTGATATGGTATGGCTGTGTCCCCACCAAAATCGCATTTTGTAGTTCCCATAATCCCCACATGTTGTGGGAGGGACTGCGTAGGAGGTAATTTAATCATGGGGGCTGTAACCCTCATGCCGTTCTCGTGACAGTAAGTTCTCATGAGAGCAGGTGGTTTTACAAGGGGTTTTCCCCCTTTTCGTCACTCACTTCTCTTCCTGCCACCATGTAAAGAAGGACATGTTTGTTTCCTCTTCCAATACCATTGTAAGTTTCCTGAGGCCTTCCCAGCCATGCTGAATGGTGAGTCAATTAAATCTCTTTACTTTATAAATTACCCAGTCTCAGCTATGTCTTTAGTAGCAGTGTGAGAATGGACTGATACACCAGGACATGAGACTTTCAAAGCCAAAACAGGAAACGTCCAGGGCAAACTGGACAAATTGGTTACCCTTGTTTTACCAGTAACTTTGTTCTACATTTAGTATCAACTACTATTTTGCTCCTTAACTTGCCAACCATAAGCACCTACTTAGTTGTCTCAAATATGTAAAGGAATATTGGAAATTAAGAAACTAAATCCTTATCCTTGAGGAATGCAGAATTCAGAGGCAGTAAATTGGGTCTCAGGAGAGCTTGGTCTCAGGAGGCAGTAAACTGGGTCTCAGACTTTTAAAGTCTGCTAAACTTAATTCATCATTTGAACCACAGCCTATAAATCAAAGCAGGCAAATCTTTAACTTCAATAATAAAAAAAGAAACCAGGACCCTAGGATTCTTTTGTAGCTGTCTACCTCCCTGAGGTGATTTAGAGGAAAAGCATAATACAGGCGAAGTTTTAATTATTTGATGATCCACCAATTTGAAAGCCAAAAAAGTATCTTCAGAGAGTGCCATGTTTTGCCCATTATTTTCTTTAGTTACCACATACTACAGAACTAGTTTCAACAAATCCATGGGTCGCAAAATAGTCTAAATTCTTTTGCTCTTTCCTATCCACCCCCTAAAGAAACCATCAAACAGAACAATAGATAGGCAATTTCACCTGAATTCTTCAATCATTAGAAGGGTGGGAAAAATCTTACTTCAGAAGTAAAGGCCATATTTGGATATAAGGAGGCATCTCAGTTCAAAGCCATAACTTTCTGTGGTCCAGAGTTTTGATAAAACACCTACTGCAGGTATTTTTAGTATCTGTCATTCTAAAGCCCTTTTTAAGTTACTGTGGTTACAGAGATGGATCACTTGGTTCCCCTTCTGGGACAAAACACAGCGGCTGTTCAGCAATTGCACAGCAATGCCTCTCAAAGATTTAGGTGAAGAACTGAAAAACATTATTTCTGGTTGAAGCTAAAGAGAAATGTATTGATCTTCCCTGGATTTTTGCCAAGCTACCAACCCAGGGACACATTCTTTTGAGTAAACCTTTAATAATTATAAGCTGGGGTTTGACAATTTATCTTAAAGATACAGTTTCTTGGCCTCTAAGCAAAATGCTTGTTCTACATCCTGGTACTGAGTCTCAATTCAGCTGTGCCCCAAACTTTTGTGACTCCTAAGAACTTTTAAAACCTTTACATATAAATGGCTATAAAATTGATATTCTAACCTTAGGGGTGGCCTGGGGATGATTTCTTTTCAAAGCAACCTTTGTCCTAGAAGACTCGACAACAGATCCTAACATTTTTCCAGCTTCCCTGTCCATCTTCACAGACTACTTTGTAGTCTGTAAGTTGTAGACCAGGGACACGACTTTGATAGAGACACGTACACACATGGACTCAATTATTTTGGTGTTACAAATGAAATATAGGGTTTAAAGTGATAGCCTATTTTCAAACCATGGCTCAAAGTCACATCTTTTATGAAAACTTCCCTTGTGTACCTAGAAAGAGCCTCCTTTCTCTCCCCAGGACCTCTTTACAGTCTCTGTCACTTTGTATTATACTTTTTATATTTTTAGCCCCTCTGGAGAGAGTGCTTCTTACCAGCAGTGAATGTTTCAGCTTCAGTTCTGGGCTTGTTCCTGCACTCAGCAAGGATCTGTTAAGTGCATACCACGAAGCCTTAGAGACAGAGTCCCTATTCTCATACTCCTCCATGTGACTAACTCCAGGTTAAGGGTAGACTTGCCCTACTCACTTGGCATCCTCCAAGTCTTCTGTTCTCTGGATGACATTGCTTTCATACTTCATTCTCCACTGCACCATTTCGGCATTGACTTTGGATAAGGTCCGGTGCAGCTCAGACTTGACCTCTTGTTCTTCCTCATACTGCTCTCGTAGAAGGTCACAGTCACGCTGGGCCTTCTGCAGGGTTTGAGCCAGGGCACTCTGGGACTGTAGGAGGCACAAATTAACAAAAAAGGCATGACCATCATGAGCAACACAAGTCTTGAAAGTAAGATAATTTTTTTTTTAAGGTAAGGTTAATAACAAGCTGCCGCAAATTGAAGCTGAACCTGAACCTAGTAAAATAATACTAGGGAGAGAATTTGGAACAAGAGAAAGGTTAGATAGTATCTAATTGCTGCCATTAAAATAGGGAAGGGAATTCTATTTAGGGAAATGCCAGCTTGACTCTGTGGACTTAGACAGGCCTGGAATTCTAGAAATAGTGGAGAATGCAAGGGTAGCAAAGAGAACATTCACTATCATTTAGGCAGTAAGATTTATATTTAGCAATATATTAGACTCAGAGCTTGTTTGAAACAGAAAGAACCACTGAAATTTAGTCTTTTCATCTTGCTGATGAGGAAAATAAAATTTTTTATTTCACACTGAAATCTCTAAAAACCTCAACTCCTATTACTTCAAAATAGTACTTCCCAATAGAACTTTCTATAATGATGAAAATGTTCTCTATGTACACTGCCCAGTATGGTAAACACCTAGCCGCATGTGGCTACTGAACATTCAAAATGTGCCTAGTATACTGTGTGATCAACACTGAATTCTTAATTTTATTTAACTTCGATATACATTTAAATAGCTACCTGTAGTGTACTAGTGGTTCCTACATATATATTCAACGGCCCTATTGGTTTAATAAACATTTTTATCATTTAAGTGGTGATCTGGCCAACCTAGCAGCATCATTCCCCTGAGATAATCTAGTATGGAAAGAACCAGGGTCCTGACGGGTCCTCGTGGGTCTTTTATGCAAATTAGAAAAAAAGCACATTTTTAGGAAGAGATAGCTCTCAGGGCACAAGGTTTAGTTAATGGCAGCCTCAGCCAACCCCTTTGGGTGGTTAATGAGGAGCCACAAATACATGGTGACTCTGAAAAGGATGCAGGCTTTGGAATCAGATGAACTTGGGTTCAAATCGTGACCTCTCCTCTTGTTTAATTTTATTTTACTTTAAAGGAAAACCATTTAAAACCTTAACGTGGCATTTACATGGCACATATTTATTGAGAGCCTGATCCAGGTGCTAGTATTATAGAAGTAAAGGAGACAAAGTCCCTGCCCTACGGAGCCCAAAAAGAATAAGGGAACACAAAAAATAAAAAAGCAAATAATAAATAAAATTTCTAATCATAGTAAAACAAATAGAGAAGATGAGCACAGTCTAGAATGCTTGGCTCCTTCTCACCATCCAAGACCTTGGAGAAGGGTCTTTAAGCAATGGGAAGGGCAGTTATAAAAGTCCTAAGGCAGGAATGATGGTGGCTGGTTTAAGAGGCAGAAGGGAAGCCAGGGCAGCTGAGGGGGAGTAAATGAGGGAAGCAGATGTAGGAAGTAGGTCACAGGAGGAGGCTGGAACCAGATCAGGGGGGCTTGGAGGCCAACTGGAAGTCACTGGGAAGGCAGCCAGAGAGATCTTCTAAAATATAACTCATTTCACTATGTGCTTAAGTTTCTTCGCAGTCTATCACTAGGTATATGACCTTGGACATGTTAGTTTTCTTCTCGGAACCTTGGTTTTTTCATTTATAAGGATGCAATTCTATCTGCTTCATTTGACTGATATGAAGATTGAGATAATGTAATAGAAGTATCTGGTACAACGTCTGATGCACAAACAATGATAAAGTTTTAAATTTGTGTATAACATAGAAAATATGGAGAGTTAAGGGAATAGAATGGTACAATATTTTAAAACAGACTCAACTACGTGCATCTTCAGAGTATATGTCTTCATAGTGTGATCCTCTACAAGTAAGGTACTTTGGGGTCTTAGTAACAAGATGCCTTGAATATGCACTAAGAATTCATTTAAATATCAAAGCTCAAAGAATTCGTATCTCATGTTAGTCATATGCTTTCACCCTTCAGAATCACTTTCATTGGAGTCATCTTCTAGCAATATTATGTATTCATAGGAAGAAATGACTAATTTCTATAATTTATTGACAATTTAAAAGTAATACTGAGCTAACCCAGTCCCACTTGTTTTATTCAAGGCTTTTATTTAATTTCACTTTTTTATGAGCAGTTCAGAATCAAAATCCAGAAAAAGCCTTGCTGCCCTTCTGTTCAAGCACTCACCCAAGATGGAAACACACACTTTGCTTGCTCTAAATCTGCAAAGAAGCAATCTGAATCACCAAGGAAGATCCTTCAGTCATTGGGGTTCTTCCTGGCATGGTTTCCCCCCCATAATTTGCAGGGTATTTTCCCTTCTTCTTTTAGAAAAAAATCTTCAGGCTGATTCATCAAGCACCATTTAAAAAAAAAACAAAAAACAAAAAAAAAAAACACACAGTCAAGTTAGTAGTGAGAAACAATAGATGCATTACTTTGGTCTCCTTTTCCAGCTGCCCTCTCAGTTCTTCAATCTGCTGAGTGAAGTTGCTCTTTTCCCTGGAAAGCTGGTTTACCAGAGCCTCCTTCTCTTCAAGCCTCCGTAGAAACTCGCCTACAGAAAGATTTCACAAAAGTACATAATTACAGTCTTCCTATCTATTGCCTCCTCCACTTGACTTACTGACTTTAAGATTAGCCAGAACGACTCCAACCCACATATTTTTGATATTTAGGAAGGGTCTGAGAGTCCTATTATTTAGCAAAACCATGGCAATTATCCTTTTCAGAACTCCAAAGACAGTCCTAAAACTGAACTGATTTTTAGTAATAAGTATGAACCGATAACAGATATTAGCTACTATTTACTGAGAAACTTCTATGCCATAGGTACTTTATGTATATTAGTTTAATTTTCATAACTCCTTGATAATGTAGGTATTATACTATTTTCCAGAGGAGGAAACAAAGCAACTTACTTAAATATGACTGACACAGAAACATACACAGTTTGTAATTGGTGAAGGTAGATTCAAATAAAGTTCTTGAAGACTACATTCTTCTCTACCGTACTCCCTTGTTTATTATATATGCCTTTGCATACTTCGGTCTGTCTATATAATTTTTAGATAATTATAACTTTTGCCTCATTTGTAAAATGAAGATAACAATAAAAGTTTCTTAATTAAAACTAATGTGAATATATTTTATAGACTGAACTGCTAAATAAATATTAGCAGTAGTCACTAAACGGTAGGAAATGTGACCATGAGAGGGAGAAATTCTATCAAAGTCTAGTCTATTGTCCCTGCTTAACTTGTCCTACTAATTATAGTCCAGCCTTCCATATCTGTAGGTTCTGCTTTGTGGATTCAACCAACCAAGGTCTTACAATTTAACTCAATTCTGACACTATCTACTTAGAGACAGTGTCAGATATACACAAACATGAACATACGTACGTATAGGGATATATGCGTGTACATATATACACATATATACACACACACACATATATATGCATATACACATATATACAAACCTATAGGTACGTGTACATATCTTACTATGAATCACAATATCACATACAGTATTTTAAAAATCATATTTGTTAACATGACTGCTGAACTCATCAGAAAAGCCTAAGAATTTAGAGCCATCAACCTAATGATGGCAAATACACGTTTTCTAAAATATAACTTTTACCTAAAACCTCCTATATTGTTATTGCCAACAAACGTTGCCAGTTGTTTTCCTTGAAGTGACAAGTTTCCTTTGCTCATTTCTGAGAAATCATCTGCCAAACACGTAAGTCTAAATAAGCCTCATTTGTTTGTCAGTCATTCTTTCAAGTAAAAGTGATACTCCCTGAAAAAACTGCTAGCTCAGCTAGAGCTTAATCACACATCTTACTCCAGTATGAAACAGGAATGGAATTTTTTATGCATACTTCTTGTTTCATCACACAGAATATTAAAAAGATATATACTCAAGAGTTGAGATGTAGTAAAATTCATTTTTCCTGCTTCTTTAAGGACATCCTTAAGTGAAACTGACTCTTTAAAAAACTGTGAGTACATATTAGTGAATACAATTTTTACTAGCATGTTTTAGTGCTACTATGTTGACTTGTCATCAGGCTCCAGCAATTTTAATCATTGTTGCTTTTGCCTTATCAACACAAATGGCATAAGGATTTAAGGAGCAAATAGCATCTCTGTATTATAATAAAATAGCTTCAACCTCATAGACCCCCTACAGGGTCTTGAGAATCGCTTGGGATATGTGAACCAAACTTTAAGAGTATCTGAATGAAAACATCTTGTGAGTTTTTGTTTGCTTTTTTGTTTTGTTTTTTTTGAGATGGAGTTTCACTCTTGTTGCACAGGCTGGAGTGTAATGGTGCAATCTTGGCTCACCGCAGCCTCTACCTCCTGGGTTCAAGGATTCTCCTGCCTCAGCCTCCTGTTTTTGTTTTTCTTTTGAGGCAGAGTCTCACTCTGTTGTCCAGGCTGGGATACAGTGGTATAACCACGGCTAGCTGCAACCTCCAACTCACAGGTTCAAGTGATTCTCTACCTCAGCCTCCCGAGTAGCTGAGACTACAGGCATCCACCACCATGGCCGGCTAATTTTTTTATTTTTTGGTAGAGACACAGTTTTGCCATGTTAACTAAGCTAGTCTCAAACTCCTTGCCTCAAGTGATCTACCTACCTCAGCCTCCCAAAGTTCTGGGATGACAGGTATAAGCCACCATGCCTGGCCCAAAAACATCTTATTTAAAAGGATTCTGAAGAAATATAAACCCACTACCTGTCTGAGACTAATATATCATGTATATTACAGAGCCACCACCCAGTTAATGTGGCTTAATTGATCTAATTTACTATTGGTTTTCCTCTGAAAGCAGAGTATGGTAAGCTGACAGAACAGAGCATGAGAAAGAAATTTTGGTGGTAGCCACCAAAAATAAAAACAAAAAACAAAAACAAACAATCTGGAGCATGGACCTGGTAAGGGGAGGATAAGCTTGGATAAATTTGTACTTCGAATTTAATTTACACAAAAGCCAATCAAACGGTAAAGCTAAAAGAAGGAAGCAAAAAATCCTGCAGCCTAAGCAGAATTATCGTCTCAGACCCACTTTCATTTTACTCACTACCCACCAATTTCCTCATCAAAAAAGTGAGTAGAAAATTAATGCCAATAACTAAGGGGAGACAGCAATGCCTATCAAACAGATTTTACACAGCACTTCCTTCAGGGCCAGATATCCAGATATTCTCCAGCTTTGTCTCTGAACTGTGGACTCTACATACCAACTAAATCCTGAATAGCACAGATCAAAATGGGGGCTGGGTAGCAAGGCCAGGTGTCACACACCCTGTGGGCACTATAAGAATAGTCCCACTCAGTGTCCTTAATAGAACCAAGACACTTTCTTCTTCTAGATTTCCAGGTTTTTAGTTTTATCAACTAATTTGAATTTAGCTCTATCCTAGACTTAGCGTCTGCAAATAGAGGTGTCTACTGGAGGAATCATGTGATATAGACCAAATGTGTTCATTCTCTTTTTAAAAGTGTGTGCCTCTTGAGCATCAAGAAGACATTGTTGGCCGGGCATGGTGGCTCAAGCCTGTAATCCCAGCACTTTGGGAGGCTGAGGTGGGTGGATCACGAGGTCAAGAGATCGAGACCATCCTGGTCAACATGGTGAAACTCCGTCTCTACTAAATATACAAAAAATTAGCTGGGCATGGTGGTGCGTGCCTGTAATCCCAGCTATTCAGGAGGCTAAGGCAGGAGAATTGCCTGAACCCAGGAGGCAGAGGTGGCAGTGAGCCGAGATCATGCCATTGCACTCCAGCCTGGGTAACAAGAGCGAAACTCCGTCTCAAAAAAAAAAAAAAAAAAAGAATACAGTGTTAATTTTCATTGACCTAGGAATTCTCTCTCTTGGAATATATGACTAAAACTGATTTTAGTTATAGATAAACCCCTAGCCACATGTCCATAGCAGAGAGACAAGTCGAGTTGCAGGGCAAAGTTAGGCATAGTCAATCTTGACGAATGAAGCAGTCATTATAGAGGACTGAGTATGCAGAATACAAAAGCTTGTGATGAACTGAAAAAGAAAAGCCCCTGATAGATGGCTACAATTTAATAGATTGGAAAAACAGAAAAAACAAAATCCATAGCAGTTGATAGTAACGAATAAACCATAGGACATTTTTTTTTACTTTCATTTATCAAATGTTTATGGAGGATCAATAAATCCCAGGCAGTGTTCTAGATGATTGACATACACCAATGAACAAAGACCCTTGACCTCATGGAACTTATATTCTGACAGATGGAGACAAATATATTTATTGTGTCAAGTAAGTAGTTTGTTTAAACTTAATAAATACTATGGAAAGAGAAGCACTTGAGGAAATGGGTTGACAGTATTCAAACGTCACCTTCTCAACAGGGCCTATCCTGACTTGCCCCAGATATCCACTTGAATAACCCTTGTCCTCAAACCTTTGTGGCATTCATAAGGTGTTCCAGGCAGAGTGAACGGCTAGGGCAAGGCTCTAGGGTGGGAGTGTGCCTGGGGTGTTCAAAGCACAGAAAGAAGTGGCCAATGCAGAATGAGAGAAAGGGCATGTAGGAGAAGGGGTCAGAGAGAATGGGGTCCGATCACGCAGGATCAGGTAGCCAACCATACAGACCACTGCTTTACCAGGTGTGAAAAGAGATGCAGATTTGTTATCCAAAAAAATATAAAATTTTTTTAAAAATTTAAAAATATTCAATGAGGTAGAAATTGTAAAAAAAAAAAAAGTCTACTAGTAGACTGTGGATTGCCCCTCCCATGCTTTGATCTTGACAGCTGCTTCTGCCGATGGCATATTACTTTACTTTTTATTTCTGGGAAGGGAACTAGGCAGGAGTTGCCAAGTGGCACAGAGGTAACACTTCCTAGACAAAAGGCCTGTGTGTGGCAAGGCTGTCTCAGAGGCAGCCTTCCTCACATAGGATCTTCAGGTGCCCACCCAGCCCCGGTGGGCAGTTCATTATCTCAGCTGGGCCTTCGTGAGTCTGCCGGGATGGAGAACTGCCTACGAGTCAAGCAGCACACTTACTTACCACTCTCACTCCACAGCTTTGTCTTTTGTGCTGTCAGGTCATTTGCCAACTGAGTCACCTTATCTAGCTTTGCATTTGCTTCATTCAAGCGCTCTTCATACACAGTACAGAGTTTCTCAGCATTTGCCTATAAGTTGAGAGAGAAGGGCTGGTCATGGCTCAGAGAGGATACTCTGAATCAGCTGCACGAAGGAGTAGGGGAGGAGTGGCTCCAGGGACCCACACGCTCTTTTCTGTAGTGAAGAGCTCAGCCAGCATTGGGAGACCACGTTTTCTGATCTAAACAAGTACAATCAACTCCAGGGTCCGGACCACAAGAGGCCTAAGCTTTGCAGAGTACAGGTGTCTTGGGAGACACCCAAAGTCCTGAGTATTAGGATTCTTTCCAGAATTATTTACTTTTCTGGAGAAGGCAACATGTCAAACACTAATAAGGTATATGATCATTTTCTGACTACATATTTAACTAACTTTTCCACTAGAATATAACTTTCATGAGGGAAGAGATCCAGTTTAAATATGTAACCCCCATTGTCTAGAATAGTGCCTGGCACAAAGGAGAGCAATATCCAAGGGGAAGGGGCAGAGGAAGGGGAAGGAAAAGAGGGAGGAGAGGGAAAAAAAAGAGGAAGGAAATCTGGAAGGCTGCCCAAGCAGGATGGAAGAAAGCGGATGGGTCTGAGCTGCAGCAGCCTAACAACAGAAACGTGAGCTGTCAAAGCAACTGTACCCCACTGATCACTATGGCTACAAGCTCAAGATGACCCTGTTGGGTAAATACTTCAATCCCCAAACTCAGCTTCTCAGAATTGGCTTTTTGTGCTTGGAGAAAAAGATATGACGTTGGCCTTTGCCCAATATACCCAAGTTAAGTACCCAATCTAATCACCAGATTCTTGCCACATTCTGAGAACTCATGCTAGTGGTTTTGAGGCCCATGATCCTCAGACAGGACTAAGAGCTGCCAAATGTAGGATGAGGTATTCCCTTTAGCATACAAATTAACTGTAGTTTGCATTCTTATTATTTATATGGTCAGAAAGAGTAAAATTATATTATTACATTGGTGATGGCCTTCCATGGTTCTACAGATTTTACATAGCTGTTTTCATGAAACTCAAGTGTAAATTATCTTTGAATGCCTTCCATCTGCCCCATCATTGGTGATGGTGATGACGACACTATTAATGGTAACAGCAGCAGCAGTTAACATTTATTGGGTGCTTGTTACATACCCAGCTCTCTTCTAAGTTCTGTGCGTTAAATCTCAATTCATACAGCAGCCCATGAGGCCTTTGTCTGCACAAAGTATGCTATGGAAATGGAAGAATTGGGAGACAAAGAAAAGATTTCATGAATGAAATTTTGAGAAAATAGTGAGGTATGGTGAGATGGGGAAAGCTGATGGTGAGCCTAATAGTTTCAGTGTTAACCTAATTGTTATGACAGAGCAATGGCCAAAGGACCAGGAATGTTTCAAAGGTGATGCCAGGTTTAGTCCTCTGGAAAACTTCTGTATCGGCCAAAACCTTGACCATCTCTAGCTGGAGCCTATGTTGTGCTGAAGATTGTTTTCTTCATGCTATGTTGCAGGACTTTTCCTTAGGTCAGCTACAGATGGGGTTCTTTGTCTCTGGCCAGGAAAATTCAGAATCAGACTATTGGAATGGCGAGCAAGACAGGGTTTTACAGAGTGAAAAGGAAGAAAAGGGGGGAAACAGAGATTCTCACAAGGCTAGAGTCCCTGCTAGAGTGCTTTCTGCCTGCAGCTTGAATCCCAGGTTTCACACAGGAAGAGGAGGGGCCAGGCTCCACCCCACTGCAAAAGGCGCGAACTTTCCCAGGCTCTACTCCAGTGGGCAGGCTGGTTGGGGTTTCTCCAGGGACCTCCTCCCACCTGGCTGTCTCACTTGCTAATAGTTATTCTCTGAGAGACTACTAAATTATGTCTTCTTACATCTCCAATGCAGTGTTATATAGTTCCAGTTCCCAGATGTCCTATAGCACACCCAGGCCTGGTGAAAACAGGCTTCACAGAGATTCAGTGGCCAGCTTCTCATACAATGCCATCAGCCTCACATAGGTTAGAGCATTAACGTTGAATGCCCAGCATGCTCAATCATCCCCACTCTCCACTCATAACTAGAAGAAAGCTAATGATCAATGTGACAGTTTTTACGTTGTCTGCACAGTATCTAATTATATGTTGAATTTTGTTTGCTCTCACTTCTGAAAATGACTTTGACAGTCAAAGTTGGCATGCTTATTTTTTTCCTCACAATATCTCTCCAAAGTTCAGATTGCCTCTGTTTTACAAATGAGAAAACTGAGCATCAGGGAGGCTAAATAACCACCCCAAATTCACAAAGCTGTTAAATGTCGGAATCAGAATTTGAACTGAAACTGCCTGTGTAGATGCACACACACACACAGAAAACGTCAAATACTAGATTTCTAAGCATCTTTCATATGAAGCAGTGATAAAGGAAATGCTAAGGATTAATTGACTTCATGTCCTAGGTGGCCCACATTGCCATGAATCCCGGGCTCCAGAGGAAAATGGATAAAAATAGGATGATTATGAAAACCACTTTTCTTTTATGATGTCTCCAATAGCAAATGACCTGTTAACTGAGCCAAGAGGAACATATCCAGGTGTGAGCAATGGCACCTGTTTGTGGCCCTGAATATGCTGTGCTATGCACCTGTTTGCTTAGGGTGAAAAAGCACAGATCTCTACAAGACAACTTAGTCAATGGTGTGTGGCAATGGCAAGAAAAAGAGCCAAAAATTTCCCAGTTGCTCAAGAGAAGTCCATGTGGTGAAGGCCAGCTGGGTTCTGCATATCTGTAGAGGAGGCAGCCCACTTGGGCAGAGAGAAAAGGCACTTGCCCTTAGGCATAGCATCACATGGGAGGTATCCACACAGGCAATGCTAACCACTAGTATAGTGTTTTCATGTAAAACGCATTTTCATAAACAGGATCAGCAAAAGACAATTAGATTGTTTATCTAAAAGAGGCTTGTATAGGGATATAGCATGGAAAAGACTTGTACTCTCAAAAGAATTTTTAATTTAAGCATAAGGATAAGCGGTATGTTCTGATACCAAGGATGAGAAGGTTAATGGAATAAGAAACATTTATCTCATAGCTGATTCTTAAAATGATGCATAAAAATGCTGCCTCCCAGAAATGCCGGGACCAATGGGAATTCAAAATAATCAAGATAATTGTGAGATTTCCTATAACTTCTAAATTGCCCTGAGCCTCTCTGTCAGCATAATATGCTTTTAAAAATGCTTCGATCTTCATTGTACCACTGAGCATTGGCATTCTTGGCATTATAATTCAGAAAATGATAAAGTCAACAACTCAAGGAACAGTTTAGCCTAATGTATATGCCTATGAGAGTGAACAGAAACAATTTATCATGCCAACAAATATTTAAAGTAGCAGCAGGACATGCTCCCCAACAGATATACACAGGACTTGGAATTGAAGTTCATCTTCTCCATCGAATTGTGTGGCCTTGGACAAGTCACTGAATCCATGAGCTCCAAGAGGCATATGTAAAAGCTGAAGCTAGTAACTGACTGCACAGACTCTACAAAGCACGGAGTAAACATGAAAATGAAACCTAGTTTCTGCTTTCAGTTTAAGCAAAGCTAAAAAACTAGATAATGCATCAGCATAAAGAGGGACCCCAAAGTACTACAGGAACTCAAAAACAGGCAAGTTCTTAATGCAGGAGTTTGAACTTGAGCATTCCAAAGAGAATAATTAGTTTGGAAAAGACACATTGGTGTAAAAATGAATATTTGGCGAAAAGCAAGCTGAAATGGAAGATCCATGAAACAAAGCAGTGGGATCTAAAACTGGCAAGACAGGTTGACTCTGATCACAGATTACAAGGTACCTTGAAAGCAGAAGTTTGGAGTTCATTTTTAAGCAGGGACATAATTCAATAAATCCATGCTTTGTAAATATTCTGAACACTTTATAAATACTAATTTGGATATATAAATATAAAATGGTTTTAAAAAATGAAAGACTAGAAGCAAAAAGAGATAATTGAGGAAACCACTGTAGTCATCCAGTTGAAAGGTAGAGAGAGACCTACATGGGAATGGGAATAGAAAACTATGAGATGGTAAAGACTGGCCTGCTGCAATAATTGACTGAAAAGCAAATAGGGAAGAAAGAAGTGGTTCAGGCTTAGAACCTGTTATAAAAAGAACCACGTGCCAGGGACAGAAATGTTCAGAGGAAGTGCCAGCTTCAGGAGAAATAAAGACAGATGGCAGGGATTAAAGGAGTAAGAAGGTAGTGAAGTACACAGCTACTGTTAGAAAAAGCCTACATTCCCATGAATGGAGCATTAAGAATCCTTCTGGTGACGGCTGACAAGAAGAGGTGAACTGTGGAGAGAGAATTAATCTTCTTAGAGATTAGTTGGATGGCTGTGATTACAATGCTGGTAGAAATATGGAGAGTAAAGGCAATTCTACTGAGGTCTTAAAATGGAAGCTGGGAATATTTTACTGGAAACTGGAAGACGGACCATCCTTATTACGGAGTGCCAAAGAACTTGGCTGAACTATGCCCTAGTCCCTTGTGGAAGGTAGACTATAAGAGCGATGAACTAGGATATTTGGTGGAAGAAATCCTTAAAGTGTTCAGGGCTCCATGGCTTCCCTTGATTGCTTAAAACAAAATACGAAGAGAGAGAAATAAAGATGAAATGTATAATCAAAGAGAAGCAGAATTTACAGATTTTAGAAAATTCTCAGCCTGGCCAGATTGTGAAGAATAAAAAAGTAGTTTCAGAAAGAAAAACAAAACACTAAGGATGTAGACAAGCAGACATTTGATAAGGAAATTAGTAGGGATAGAAAGAAGCCAGGTGCTATTCATCACATCGATGGAAGGATGACCCTGAAGATATTTCTGAGACCTTTGTGGCTGCCCTACCCACAAAGGCCCAGAAGGCCAGGGCCTTGAAGGAAACATGATTTCAAGAGAGGATTCTCAGAGCTTGCTGCCCAGGGCTGCCTCTAGTCTTTGCTCCCTGCCTGCCAGTGTAGTGCTCCTCTGCCACTCAGGCAGGCTGAAGTTCAGCTCAGGTCACCACTCTGGAAGGCACATGCTGTAAACCATAGCAGCATCCACACAGTGCAAGCTCTGCAGGAGATACGGAAGCATAGCTCCTCCACCTAGATTTCAAAGGATATTTTGGAGAGCCTTGGGGTCCAGGCAGAGAATTGCCATGGGCGCTAGAGCCACTGCAGAGAGCCCCCACTGTGGCAGTGCTTAGTGGAACTGTGGGGGCAGAGTTGCCCCCAATACCCCAGACTTACGGAGCCACCAGCAGGCAACACTAACCTGGGAGAGCCACAAGCAACCAACTTCAACTCCTGAGAGGTGCTGCCAGGGGAGCAGTGCAACATGGGATCCTGGGGACCCAAACCCCACCTCAGGATGTCCAGAATATCATGGAGACATGGAGTCAAAAATGATTATTCCCAACTTACAAGATTTAACGTTGTTTGCTTATATTTGTGTTGGGATTTTCCCTTGTTACCTCTTTTTTCTTTCTGGTTTCTCTTTTTTTGGAATGGGAATGTCTATGCTATGTCCTGTTCCACTATTTTATTGTGGAAACACATAACTTGTTTGATTTCACAAGCTCACAGCTGGAGGAATAATTTGCCTCAAGATGAATCATGCCTTGAGTTTCCCTCCTATATGATTTAGATGAGACTTTAGACGTTTGAGTTGACACTGAAATGACTTAAGTCTTTGGAGCCTCTTGGGGTAGAATGAATGTATATTGCTTATGCGAAGGACATAAATTTGAGGGACCAGAGGTAGAATGCTATGGACTGAGCATGTCCCCCCAAAATTCATATGCTGAAACAACTGCCAGTGTGATAGTGTTAGGTGGGGCCTTTAGGAGGTGATAAAGTCATGAGGACATGAGCCTTCATGAATGAGATTAGTGATATTAAAGGTGGAAGGGAACATCTGTCCCTTTCCTGTTTTTGCTCTTCTACAATGTGAGGATGCAGCAAGAGGCACCACCTTTAAAGCAGAGAGCCCTCATCAGACAACAAACCTGTTGCTACTTTGATCTTGGACTTTCCAGCCTCCAGAACTGTGAGAAATAAATTTCTATTATTTATAAATTACTCAGCCTGTGGTATTTTGTTAGAGCAGCAGAAATGAACTAAGATACCAAGGAATGAACTAAGATAGCTGTGAGAGAGAGAGAGAGAGAGAGAGAGAGAGAGAGAGAGAGAGAGAGAAACACAGATTGTTTCTTTCTACTTAGTAAGGTATTTAAAAGGAATTACTGTTAAACATTTCAGAAATCACTTTACATCACTGAAGATATTCTACATTTTTCTGGCCCTAGTCCATGAAGATCAAGCTTTATTGTCAGGCCATATCTTTCCCAGATGACTTCATAAAATCTGCTCACAAGGAGAAGAGATTACAGCAAGTAGGCATTTGCTCTGCTTAACCTAAAGCAAAGCTCCTCTCAACTACCAGAAGACAGGGTCACTGTTATCCGTGATCTGGTAGTAACCACTTGACATGAGAGCTTGCAGCATATAAGTTAATGGGCTCAGTAAAGAAAGAACAAATGATGAGCCTTTCTTATAGTACTGGCTGATTAAAGAGACGCCAGAGAACATGAGGGAGAAAAAGTTTCCTCCTCTCAGCAAAGCTATTTGTGTACACCATTCATTCAGATATGCTCTAGAAGTATCCATGCCATCACTAAGGAGTGCTCACAACAAAAGTCATTCTTCAAGAAAGATATAGATTGTGGTCTCAGATTTCCAGCTCACTTACTTACGCCATCACTAAAAAGATCCATAAGAAACATGGATTAGAATTCTGGTAAAACCAGAAGCCATTGTCAGGTCACATTCAGGCAATGGATGTGTGACCTTAACAATGACCACTAAGGTTAGGCCTGATCTATTCAGTATGAAGAACTATAGTCTTCATGAGAAAATAGGTCGAATCCCTAAGCTGGCTTATTTTTCTTTTCCCTCCCCTCTCATTTCTTCCCCTTCCTACTGACATGTTCAGAAGCCCATGAGGATAGCATGGGAGTGTCTACCTTAGCTCTTGTCATCTGCTCAACACGGGTCAGGAGGTCATCTACTTCTAGCTGCAAGTCACTCTTGTCTTTTTCCAGTTTCTGCTTCACCTGCTGTAGATTTTCTACCTGGCCCTCGAGCTCAGCCAGGTTGTCTGCATGTCTCTTCTTCAAAGATGCAGAAGTTGCCTCAAAGTGCAGCGTGGCCTCTTCCATGTCTCGGCGAAGCCTCTGGAATTTTGTTTCTTGTTTCTTAGTTATTTCCAGCTGAGCCAGACTGGCTCCTCCTACCTCCTCCAGCCTCTCATTCAAGTCGGCCAGGTCTTGGGTGAGGTCAGCTCTCTCCCTTTCCATCTTGGCTCGAGTGGTCCTTTCAGCTTCTAGTTTCTCTTTCAAATCCTTTATTTGAGTCTGTACCAATAAATAATTTTGACTTTTACTAAGCACTTGTAGCATATTCTGTATTTAAGAGCTTTACTCTATTTTTTAAATCACAAAGCTAACATGAAACTTTTGGTTCTCAATGTATAACTAAAGAAAACAGAATAGACAGAAGCTAAGTGATTCGCCCCGATTCAGTACCAAAACCAGAACTAGAATTTGCATTTCTTCCAAGTCACTCAGCCCCTGATGGTGGACAAGCTCATTAAATTATATACATGGAGGAGAAAGCTTAGTAAAGAGTATTTCCCAAAGAAATAGGAAAATAACTTTCATATGACAAAAGAGTGTTTAAGAGCATTTATGAAAATTGGAATAATAAATTTTATATACAAAAATCTTCCTTATCTGAAATTCATTGATCTCAGCTATCTGGGACTTGGGCAAAATTCTGATCATCTTATAAAATGAACATCTTCAAATTCAAGCAATTTACTTAAACAATATCAGTTTAATTTTACACATAATTCTAAAAAACTTGGTTACTTGGTTTTCTAGTCTGCAGGAGATTTCAAGTAAGAGATCCAAAATAACAAAGGGGAGTTGGTGAAGGAACGTGGATAAAGTGAGAAGTGATACAATATCATCAGAGGCAAGATTATTGGAAAAAGAAGTGCTAACAACCCGCGGCGCCCCAAGCCCTTTTAGCACAGGTCAAATAGGTCTGTAAATCCTGATAGCATCAGTGTATTACAGTACAATGAAGCCACTGATGTTATTATCATCACTTTAAATAATTAGGCATAGGTTAGGATAGGGGAGAAAACAAGATAGAAACTGTTTTAGAATATGTGTTCCTTTCCATTAAATAAGAGTACTGTGGCTTAGAAAAAAACTAACTTCTAGATTACACCAAATAAGTAGTCTCTCAGTTCTATAGATGAGGTATGACAGAAAAGGTGCTTAAAAAAAAGTATGATCTTCACATTCAAGTAACCATGATCCTCTTCCAACTGGTTAGCATGGGTTCCAAAACAACATTTATCCCAAATCATACCACCATTGAACCAAACATTTCTGAAATATTTTGTCAGAAATAATTTTCACAGAACTTTCTGAAGTCATTAAGGTAAGGAAATTTGCCTTTTGGATATATTGAATTTTTTTTTTTAATTTTGGATAAAATCAAGAGTCATTTGAAGTCAAGCCCAATGAATAGCATAACCACTTGGAGGTTAATAGCATGTCTGAAACTAAAATATGTTCACAAAATATTGAGACTGGTTTTCTTATTTGGCTCAAAATATTTCAGAAGATAAATATCAGAAAGAGGTTCCAAAAGTATTTTGAGCCATAGTTATATTACTAAGATATTTATTTAGTACCAAAGGGAAATTATCCATCTGAATGTATGTGTGCATTTGTGTGTAAAATTACTTTATAACATAGTCCTACGCTATGAAACTCACGCAGTCTAAAACTTATAAATAGCTATTTATTATCACATAATGTTTTGAGGCTACAAGTACCTATAGAACTTACTGATTTTCAGTCAGTCACCTTCTAATCACAAAGAATAATCATTATAAAAATTAAATTGCTAACACTGAATGCATACCATGGGTCAGGCACTGTGCTTATTACTTAAATATATTGTTGTGTTTAATAATATTAGCTCAATGGTTGCCAGAAGGATTCATGAGTGAAAAAACAAGTTTTGGATTTTAGCACAATGCCTCGTTCACAGCAAACATTCAACAACTTAGCTATTCACTTTTATTATTCTCATAAGGAAATTTAAGCTTAACTCTATCTGTGGAATGTCACCATTTCCCTTCTTAACCACTGTTCTTTTCTGCCTCTGTCTGTGGTTGGCTAAGGGTATGAATACCTTGGCAGAAAATTTGTCATTGAACTGCCAGTCATCACCCATGGATCTAAATACAAGTATACAGGCATATTTGATAATTGATTACCTGAAGCTCTTTAACCATCTTCTGAAGCTGAGCTACCAGGCCTTTCTCATTCTCCGCTTTTGAATGCATCTGACTCACTTCTAATTCTTTTCTGTTTAGAAAAATATAACAAATACAATTGTTCAGAACAATAACATTTTGTTTAAAGTAGTTAGAATTGTAATATTCCTAACACAAAGAAAAGATAAATGTTTGATGTGATAGATATCCCAATTACCCCAACTGAATCTTTGCACATTGTATACAGGTATCAAAATAGCACGTGTACTCCAAAAATATGTACAATTATTATATATCAATAAAAAAAACATGCTTTGACCAAAAAATGAGAATACCATTTTGTTTAAATATTTTTAAAATTACAGATATAATACAATAATTTATTCTCATTTGAAAACTTCAATGATTATACCTACATCTGAAGTTTTCTTAGCTATGATACCTGATATGGCTTGGCTGTATCCCCACCTGAATCTCATCTTGAATTTCCACATGTTGTGGGAGGGGCCAATGGGAGGTAACTGACTCACTGGGGCGAGTCTTTCCTGTGTTATTCTCATGGTAGTGAATAAGTCTCACGAGATCTAATGATTTTATAAAGAGGAGCTCTCCTGCACAAGTTCTCTCTTTTCGTCTGCCACCATCCATGTTAGATGTGACACCATCCATGTTAGATGTGACTTCCTCCTCCCTGCCTTCCACCAAGATTATGAGGCCTGCTAGCCATATGGAACTGGAAGTCCATTAAACCCTTTTTCCTGTATAAATTACCCAGTCTTGGGTAAATCTTTTTTTTTTTTTTTTTTTTTGAGACGGAGTTTCGCTCTTGTTACCCAGGCTGGAGTGCAATGGCGCGATCTCGGCTCACTGCAACCTCCGCCTCCTGGGTTCAGGCAATTCTCCTGCCTCAGCATCCCGAGTAGCTGGGATTACAGGCACATGCCACCATGCCCAGCTAATTTTTTGTATTTTTAGTAGTGACGGGGTTTCACTATGTTGACCGAGATGGTCTCGATCTCTCGACCTCGTGATCCACCCGCCTCAGCCTCCCAAAGTGCTGGGATTACAGGCTTGAGCCACCGCGCCCGGCCTTTGGGTAAATCTTTATCAGCAGTGTGAAAATGGAATAGTATAGTAAATTGTTACTAGTATAGTGGGGTGCTGTTGAAAAGCTACCCGAAAATGTGGAAGCAACTTTGGAACTGGGTAACAGGCAGAGGTTGGAACAGTTTGGAGGGCTCAGAAGAAGAATGAAAAATGGGGGAAAGTTTGGAACTCCCTAGAGCAGGCGTCCCCAGACTTTTTACACAGGGGGCCAGTTCACTGTCCCTCAGACCGTTGGACGGCCGCCACATACTGTGCTCCTCTCACTGACCACCAATGAAAGAGGTGCCCCTTCCTGAAGTGCAGCGGGGGGGCCAGATAAATGGCCTCAGGGGGCCGCATGCCTGCCCTAGAGATTTGTTGAATAGCTTTGACCAAAATGCTGATAATGAAATGGACAATGAAATCCTGGATAAGGTGGTCTCAGATAGAGATAAGGAACTTACTGGGAACCGAAGCCAAGGTGACTCTTATGTTTTAGCAAAGAGATTGGCGGCATTTTGCCCCTGCCCTTGAGATTGGTGGAACTTTGAATTTGAGAGAGATGATTTAGGGTATCTGGTGGAATTTCTAAGCAGCAAAGCATTCAAGAGGTAACTTGGGTGCTATTAAATGCATTCGGTTTTTTGTTTGTTTGTTTCTTGTTATTGTTGTTTTGAAGACTGAGTCTTGCTCTCATTCACGCCAGGCTGGATTGCAGTGGTGTGAACTTGGCTCACTGCAACCTCCACGTCCCGGGTTCAAGTAATTGTTCTGCCTCAGCCTCCTGAGTAGCTGAAACTATAGGGACATGCCATCATGCCCAGCTAATTTTTTTGTATTTAGCAGAGACAGGGTTTCACCATGTTGCCCAGGCTGGTCTTAAACTCCTGAGCAAAGGCAATCTGACTGCCTTGGCCTCCCAAATTGCTAGGATTACAGGCGTGAGCCACTGCGCCTGGCCTGCATTCATTTTATAAGGAAAGCAGAACATAAAAGTTCGGAAAATTTGCAGGTTGACAATGCGATAGAAAAGAAAATCCCTTCTTCTGAGAAAACATTCAAGCCAGCTGCAGAAATTTACATAAGTAACAAGGAGCTGAAAATTAATCCCCAAGACAGCAGGGCATGTCAGAGATCTTCACTGCAGCCCCTCCCAACACAGGCATAGAGGCCTAGGAGGAAAAAGGGTTTCCTGGGCTAGGCCAAAGGTCCCTGCGTGGTGTGCAGCCTAGGGACTTGGTGCCCTGCATCTCAGCTGCTCCAGCCATGGCCAAAAGGGATTAACATAGAGCTTGGGTCATAGCTTCAGAGGGTGCAAGCCCCAAGCCCTGGCAACGTCCACCTGGTGTGGAGCCTGCAAGTACACAGAAGGCAAGAATCGGAGTTTGGGAACCTCCACCTAGATTTCAGAAGATGTATGGACACGCCTGGATGCCCATGCAGAAGTTTGCTGTGGGGCCCTCATGGAGAAGCTCTGCTAGAGCAGTGCAGAAGAGGAAAGTGAGGTCAGGGCCCCCACACAGAGTCCCTACTGGGGCAGTTCCAAGTGGAACTATGAGAAGAGGGTCACTGTCCTCCAGACACCAGAATGGTATATCCACTGACAACTTGCACCGCATACCTGCAAAAGCCGCAGACATACCAGCAGCACATGACGGCAGCCAGGAGGGAGCCTGTACCCTGCGAAGCCACAGGGAAGGAGCCACCCAAGATCATGGGAACTCATCTCTTGTATCAGTGTACCCTGGATGTGAGACATGGGGATCATTTTGGAGCTTTTGGATTTGATTGCTCAGCTGGATTTCAGATTTGCATGGGGCCTGTAGCTCCTTTGTTTTGGCAAATTTCTCCTATTTGGAATGGCTGTATTTACCCAATGCCTGTACCCCCATTGTGACTAGGAAAGAAGTAACTTGCTTTTGAATTTACAGGCTTATAGGCAGAAGTGACTTGCCTTGTCTCAGATAAGACTTTGGACTGTGGACTTTTAAATTAAAGCTGAAATGAGCTAACACTTTGGGGGACTGTTGGGAAGGCATGATTGGTTTTGAAATATGAGGACATGAGATTTGGGAGAGGCCAAGGGCAGAATGATATGGTTTGGCTGTGTCCTCACCCAAATCTCATCTTGAATTTCCATGTATTGTGAGAGGGACTCTGTGGGAGATAATTGAATCATGGGGGCTAGTCTTTGCTGTGCTGTTCTCATGATAGTGAATTAGTCTCACGAGATCTGATGGTTTGATAAAGAGGCTTTCTCCTGCACAAATTCTCTCTCTCTTTTTGCCTGCCGCCATCCCTATGAGATCTGACTTGCTCGTCCTTGTCTTCTGCCATGATTGTAAGGCCTCCCAAGCAAGGCAGAACTGTTAAGTCCATTAAACCCTTTTTCCTTTAGAAATTAGCCAGTCTCAGGTATGTCTTTATCAGCAACGTGGAAACAAACTAATATAATACCCAATCCCTACTTTCCCACTAGAGGGAACCACCATTATCCATTTAGTATAAATCCTTCCAGAAATTTAACTACTGACATATGTTTGTGCTTACATGTACATATGTAGCTATAGAGTTTCATTTTCTTTAAAATGATAGAATATCATGTACATTTGCATTTATAGATTAATAACCTGATCCATATTAATAGATTATTACATTAAGATATAAGAATAACATTTACAATATAATTAACATTAAATATTGGTATCTTTAATATTTTAAATGTTATAAAGTTCAATAATATATTGAACTTAATTGAATATATTATTGAATTGAGAATGTTATTCTTAACAATACATTAAGCTTAAAAATCTTAAGCTATTATATTTTAAGCTAATTATTATATTAATAATATATTATTAATCCATTATTTTTCCTACTCAGGCCTACACAGAGTACTGCATTTAAAAATTAACTATGACATGGCATTTTAAGATTTAGACATTCCTTAGTTTGTGAATTTTCCAATTAATAAGCACTTAGGCTTCCTTAATATTTTGCTTTTACAAATCACACTGTTCATAATCATGCCCCTTGTATACATGTTTCTCTAGAGTGGATACTGAGCAGGAAATTGTTGGGTAATGTAAGTGCTAAAAAACATGATAGCCCTCTCTTTTAATCTCCACTAATACTGTGGGATCACTGTTTCTGTACATTTATTCTTAATAATATACTCCCAAAGTTTTCTTAGACAATAGAATAATATTTCATTTTTCTTTTTGAATGCTCTCAATTACTAGTAATGACTATATCCTGTCGGCTATTTGTATTTTTAAATTACAAATAAATCAAAAGAACTGTTTGTGTCCTTTGACCATTTTTCTATTAGGTTGTTCATCTAATTAGAGATTTTCCTTTGATTCTTGATATTTTTTATATTTGTTACAAATTTTTCTCTCACTTTATATCTTTTTTTCCATTCTATTTATGTTAGCATTTGTCACATGTTTAAAAATTTTGATGTCAAATATATCAATATCTTCCTTTTGTCTTTGGCTTTTTGTGACTTGTTGAAGAAGATTTAACCTGTCAATCTCTTAAGACTTATTGATTATATTTAAAAAAAATTTTTTTTAAATTGTGGTAAGAACACTTAACATGAGCTCTACCCTCTTAAATTTTTAAGAACAAAATATAGTATTCTTAACTATAGGTCCAATGTTGAAAAGCAGATCTCTAGAACTTAATCATCTTGCATAACCAACTTTATACTCATTGAACAAAAACTCTCCATTATTTCTCTCTCCTCCCAGCCCTTGACAACCACTTTTCTATGAATTTGTTTCTATGAATTTGATTATTTTTGATACTTCTGTCAGTGGAATCATGTAGTCTTTATCCTTTTTGCAATTGGCTTATTTCATTTCGTATAATGTCCTCCAAACTCATCCAAGTTGTTGCACATGGCAGGGTTTCTTTTCAAGGCTGAATAACAGTCCATTGTTTGTGTATTTGTATTATATATCTGTATGTATACAGATATTTGTATGAATGTATGTATGTGTGTTTGGGGTTTCTTTCATTTTTAAAATTTTAATTCATTTATTTCAATAGGTTTTTGTGTATATGTGTATATACATATACACACACACACACACACACACACACACACACACACCTCCCACATTTTCTTTATCCATTCATGTATCAAAGGATATTTAGATTGTTTCTATGTATTGGCTATTGTGAATGATGTTGCATCTTCTAGTGGTTTTATGGCTTTGTTTTGACATTAAGTTCATCAGTGCAACTGAAGTTTGTGTGTATAAATTGTATGAGGTAGGAATGTCTCTTACTTCGGGAAATGAATAGCTAATAATTCCAGTACCATTTACTAAGTATCTTGTCATCACTAATTTGAAATGCCACCTTTATCATGTCTTGTTTCAAATACACATAGGTCTACCTAGGGAAAAAGTTTTATGATTAAGTTACAACTTTTTAAAACTATGAATTTCTAAAATGCTAAAACTCTTTACCTGTGGCCTACACAACATAGAGTATCATTTACACTTTGCTGGTTATAATTTGCACTGAAACAGGATCTTCAAAATTGAATGCTAAGGGAATTCTATAATCATATTGCTTTACATTATTCCATTCCATTCATAAGGTCATTTGTTTCATCATTTCTAAACACCTAGTAAGCCCGGTAACTCGTTAGCAGAATATGAGTTAAGCCTCACCAAGAGCATATATAATAGCATCTGTATATACCATCAAGAAAGTCAGACACTCATGGCTGGTCACTGGACTCTTCCCTCTTTTACTGTGGGCCTCAACCACTGAAACACTACGATCTTTAACCTGGCCTGCCTTACTCTTCATCCTCACTGTTTTCCTCTCTTATTTGGTATAATCTAAGTAAATGGAAAATCCCTAATGGTTAAAAGAAAAAAAAAAGTCTAAATAGAGGAAGATGAGAAAAGGGAGAATGTGAGAAAATCCATGTCACTGAGTAGGAGAACTAAACTGAGAAAGCCATCTTGCTCTGAGTTCCTTGGGGTATAAGGAATCCACATGAATGGAAAATTTCCTCAATTTTAATCTTCTTCATGGGTTGTTTTAGATTTAAAGGTTTAATATTTATATAGTAAATTATTTGATCAAAATTCCTATATAAATGTTAATTATGTTTGGCAAACATATATTATTTTAGTAACCAGAGAGTATATCAGTCTTCGCATCAGGATCCATTTTTTTTTTTTTTTTTTTTTTACATATCATGACATTCGTTTCATCATGAGTAAAAGGAGAGAGACATTTTTATTTTTTTTACTTACAGCTGAAGGTTCCCAATAATTTACATCTTATATACCTTATATTATTCTTTCTCATCTGCTAGTCAGATACTTTCTCAGTTACATCCTTCTAGATATTGCATTTACTCTCTTTTTACAACTATAAAATAAAGCACAGCAAAGAAAAAAAAGTCATTTCCTAAGCCTGTGATCCTTGCCTTGGGTCTTGAGCTATCTGGCCCTGGAGTGCTAAGGATAAATGAAATGAGAAAGCTGTTCCTTCTAATATAAGGTCTCCAAGAATCTCATGTCAACAGAAAGGTGGCTTACTTCCTCAGCTCTTCTGCCAGGTGTCGCTGGCTGCTCTCCAGGTTCTCCAGACTTTCCTGGTTCAGCTTTAAATCGCCCTCCAGTTTATGCAGCTCCCTTTCACAGTTCATTCTTGCTTTTCTCTCCTGCTCCAGGGCACCCTCAAGCTGAAAAAGGAGATATTATTTAGCCAAACCAATAGGTAGAGTTTATACTTCACTAGATGTGTTCATTAACCACTTACCTTCTGGAAAAAAAGAAAGACACAAGCATAAATTCTATAAATGATCCCCAGTAACATAGAGATTTCCAAATAAATACTGCATATGTCAATAGGTTAACAAAAGAATCCAGAAATCACAGGGATAAAAGAAAACTTGAGAAATTACAGAACAGAAGTTCTGTCTTAGGGAAGGAACCAACAAGAAATGGCCAGTGAGCCCTTGATTGATTGCTTTCCAATGATAGGAAGCTCACTTCTTCACATGGCAGCTCATTTCACGAATGGATAAGTCCATTTACTGGGTAGTGCTTCTTCATAAGAAGCCAAAATATTCCCTGTAAATTCTATCCACAAGTACAAGCTCTGCTCCCTGGAGCAACACCAAGCAAATCAGTTTCCGCATGATCATCCTTAATAATTTGGAAGAACCCCTAGGCATCACTGGCCCATTCAAACACATTCTCCCATGGCATGATTTCCAAGCCTTGTCACCACCTTGGTACCCTCTTCTAGTTCATAACATCATGCCATATTCTGGTTCCTCACTAAATGTTCCCCATCAGAACATTCCAGTTTTGCATGGATTAATATTGCCAAGGATGATATAGAGGTTAGTTTTCCAGGAAACTAAGTAACCGCCACGGTACGGCTTTTTGTTTATTGATATGTTTACTTTCTAACAATGGAAGATATGCTCTGTAACCAACCAAAGAGATGAAATTCAAATTGGGAGGCGGGGAGAAATTCTGGAAAGGATATATGTAAAAATCTGAAAGCAGATGAACAGCGAGTGCTGTGCACTGGAGTCTGTGTCCCTGCCAAATTCATGCTTAAAATCCTAACCCCCAATGTGATGGTGTTGGGAGGTGGGGCCTTTAGGAAGTGATGAGGTCCTGAGGGTGGAGCCCCCATGAATGGTATTAGTCCTTATAAAAGAGACCCTGTAGAGCTCCCTTGTTCCTTCTGCCATGTGAGGACACACGGAGAAGTCACCCTCTGTAAACCAGGAAATGTGATCTCGCTAGACACCAAGTCTGCTGGCACTTTGCTTACGGACTTTCCAGCCTCCAGAACTGTAGGAAACAAACTGCTATTTGTTTGCCACCCAGTTTATGGTATTTTATTGCAGCTAGCCTGAATGGACGAAGACATCAGGAGAGAATAAGTGTGTGCATGTGTGTGATGTGCATATACACGCACACATATAAATGCCAAAAAATCCTTCTGCTGAGGCTTTGTGAGATATGTAATCAGTGGAAGTAGGAAGAAATCTAATACAACTAATAGGTAGTAGAAGAAATTTATATAGAGGCAGGAAGAAAAAGCAGTAGATGAGGGAAAAAATCCTAACACCCTTGTCAACAATTTTTAAAGGCTACACTTTGGTGACTACTGAGAGCATGAATGCATACACTGTGTCAGCTGGGGTGGGAAAAAGGAAGAATTATGAACCCACACATTGAGACTGGTGTGAAACAGCTTTACTTCACAGGGCATTTAGAGGCAAAATGGGAATCATCTCCAGAATATTAAAAGCATTTTCCAGTGGTGTAGGTAGAACACAGCTTGTGTTCACATATCTTTCAACAATAAATAAATCTCAGCACACCACTGGAAACACACATGGCCTTTAAAACTAATTTTTCAACACCAGTGTCGAATAGAGTACCAGCATATCTGTGTCTGTGGGAGATACGAGGAAAAGCCAGTCACCTAAAGTGACAGCCCTTTACCATTCATCTTAATGTTCGTTTCCCATTGCCCAGGATCAAGTGAAAGTTGCTTTTAAAAACCAACAGATTATGTGTGGAGACCTCTCTTATACTGTTGGGGTTTAGTGTATAAGAAAAAGAACACTTTCATTCTCAATCACCAGGAAAACAAACTCTGCTACTAAGTTTTCCAGAAACTGTCAAGATAAATTAATGAAGTAAAAACTGGAGTTACATGTATATGTAGTAGACAGATCACTAACTAACCAGATACGCCGCTACTGACCTCATCAACTTGCTGTTCCAGCTTCAGATTCGCTTTGCTCAGGCTGCTGAGCTTCTCCTCCTCCACTGTGCAGGTCATCCAGAGTCTGCTGATGGGCCTCCTGCACAACCTTGGCTGCTCTGTTAAGTTTGCTGATATCCTCATTTAGAAACTCTACTTCCTCAGTCAGGTTCTTGACCTGTGGGAAGAAGAAGACAGCTTCATTAAAGCCTCTGCTGGAACGCTGGGCATAACACTGAGGGTCATCTCTCTTTCATAGTCCAGAACAACCCATGAGGTATCCAGTGTCATCAGGAGCTGCTTTTAGCCAAATTCCTGAAACATTGTCTAAAACTAAATTTAGCTTTTCTCCCACAAAAGTGATCTGTTAGCTGTGATGGTCAGGAAATGAAGTATTCTGTTTAAACATTAATATGGATAAATAATTAACATTATTTATTCATTAACATTCTCAATATGAAATAAATTGGATGGCCAATTTAATTCACAGTATTATATATCAGTAACAACACTAAAGGCAAGGGCGCTTTCTTTTGAGGTGTCATGGCATGTACTGATTGTGTTATGCCTCAGTATCCCAAGAAAGTGGCAGTTAAAGAAAGGTTCCAGCTGATAAAATATGCAAACACGGACATTGACTATATCAGCCCCATGTGCTTTTTATGGAAGAGAATATAAAAATAAAAGTGCTATTTAATAGTCTGCCAACATTACAATGTCACTGTGGAGACTGTGTTTATCTGAGGCTTGATGCGGACTCCTCACTGTCCTCAATCCACACGTAGATGCACGAGTTAACCCTCAACCAAACCCTCAGCCCAAACAAACAAAACACGAAAGTCCTTAACTAGAATTAACTGACATCTTCAAGGTCAAACTCTAAATCAGGCGTCCCCAAACTTTTTACACAGGGGGCCAGTTCACTGTCCCTCAGACCGTTGGAGGGCCGCCACATACTGTGCTCCTCTCACTGACCACCAATGAAAGAGGTGCCCCTTCCTGAAGTGCGGGGGTGGGGGGGCTGGCTAAATGGCCTCGGGGGGCCGCATGCGGCCCGAGGGCCATAGTTTGGGGACGCCTGCTCTAAATCAATGATACAGCAGGGGACTCAGGCACACCCCAAATTATCTTTTAGCAAACCATATCATGCTCACTCTCCTTCCAAAAAACAAGGTTTCTTACAGGCCCGATGAAACCATTTTATTCTATTATAGAGTTCAGATGCAATAGGATTGGAACAAATGAAAATGTTTCATTTGGGAGATTAAATAAGGGTCCATAAGTTCAAATTGGAAATTTGAATCGGGACAGCAGTTTATCAGACCCTATATTTTGTGCCAGTTCTGACTCTCAATGCTATAAAATTGCAGACCGCTGTTTTAATTAACTTAAATAGAGCAAGTCGGATACCAAAACCTGATTTGAGAGTGGAATTCTGGCTGCTAGGCCTTCTTAACTAACATTATGGAAAAAGTACCTTGTGCTCTGTAGCACGCTTCTCCTTCTCTGACTTCGCCAATATTGTTTCCAGGTCATCGATTTCTTTCTTCAACTCAGAGCATTCATCTTCAAGTTTCCGCCCCCTGGCAGTCAGCTCAGAATTTATCTCCTCTTCTTCCTCCACCCTCTCCGACAGCTCCTTTACTCTGGCCTCCAGCTGGATCTTGGATTTAATCAGCGACTCGCACTGCTCTTCAACATTTGCCCGTGTCTCCTGCTCCTGCCATGATGAGGAGAAAATTGTTGCCAACAGCTGGAAGTAATTTATCAGCTAGGCGAAAATGCTGCTAACACATAGCAAAGAGATAATTGCCTGCCCTCTGTTCAGCTCTTTCACCTACCTTTCCTAAACAGCTGCAATAATATTCCCAGGTCCCTGATCTGATCACTAAGAAGTGGAGAAGTTGCTTCTGTTTGGAGGTGCTTTCAATCTCTCAGGCCAATTCAGTGGATTAGATTACCTCTTCTAAAGCACTTAATAGAATCCTGGTGGCCTAAAGGAGCTAGCGTGCCTCCAAAAATCAGTGGTGTGCTGCTTAAATCACAGCTTCTGGAAACATCCATATGGGCACAGAGTTTGAGGTTGATAACTGCTTATAAAATCATCTTTTAAAAAGCAGAGTTCCCTCAGAATATTGCACTATAGCTATCATAAGTGCATGGATGTAGTTATTTAATATACCTCTCTTCTAATAAATTGAGCTGAGTTACGTGTTTTTTAAATTTGTTGGCTAAACTTAGAATTCATAAGGTTATTTGCAAGTCATCAACTAGATTTCACTGTTATTTCCAACTAAAATTTTTGCCTCAATGATTCTGCCAGCACAAAGTTACACGAAGAGCATACAGTACTCTTCATCCTTTCACAGGCACCGCCTCCAGCTCTTACTGGGTGACCCATTGCTCCTGTGTTATGGGTCAAGTAAAAAATACAGGGGCTTTTTGCTACAGAGCACGTTTCATAACTGTAAACCCCTCTAATTTATCTTTTTTATAGGCTTAAATAAAACCTCTTCATAAGCAAGTTCTTAATTGTTGGAGATCTTGTTATAACTTCACATACATTTTCATCTTCCGTCTCTAGACCTCATACATCCTTCACAATATGCCAGTTGGACAATGTAGTAATGATCCATTTGCCTCACTTAACTTGTGTCTGCTAATTAGATCAAGAGTCAGGGACTGGGGGGAGGTAAAAATCCAGGCTATTGGCCTCTGAGTAGCTCCTGGCTGGAGAATGGCTGCCTACCCAGCAAACGGGGCTCAAAGAGGCACAGATGGAGAGAGCTATAGAATAACAAATCTACAACTTCACTGAAGACCCCAAAACAGAGGCTAAATAAAAAAAAGTACCAGGACATTTAGAAAGGTTCAATGCAAATAAGAGAAGCTTCCAATGCACAGAAAAGAATGGGGACATTTTATCTTAGTTCCCCCCAGGGTGACAAGCAGAACAGTTATTTGCTGTATTCCATTCCGCCTGTATACAAGACCTGTCACCATCACTGAACAAAGAGGAAAGTCCAATCGACCATCATTGATCTCTTCATTAAACATGACAGCAGGATTTGGGGGCCAGGCTGAGCAACGGTGTGGCAGCTTGGCCATAGGAAGAGTCTTTCCCCAGTGGCAGCTACTCTCTGACGTACTCACCAATATTAATTGGAATGGGGTCACTCAGTTCTGGTGGAATTTTGACTAAGCAAAGAAGGATTTCAAATATTTCTTTTTTTCTTTTTTTTTGGATTCTTTTGTGTTTAGCTTTGTCTCTTAAAATAATAAAATAGATATAATGTATACATTATATATGATATCATATATTAGATATAATGTATGATATATGATATTATATATGTATAATACATATAATACATATAATATATGATATCATATATTATGTTATATATACATATCTAATATATATATATCATATATTATGTTATATATACATATATAACATAATATATGATATATACACATATTATATATAATATATGATACAATAATATACAGGTAGTGCTCGACTTACGACCATGGTCGGGACTGCGGAACAGTCGTAACACGATTTGGTCGTAAGCTGAGTAGGCTATATGTACAGTTGGAATGGTGCAGGCATAGATGGTAGTGCTGCCAGAAGCTGGTCCGCACTGTCATATGCCCAGCTGGGCAACGTTTGCGCTGCCAGACGCGGAGGAGTCGTGGCTAGCGATTGTGGTCGTAAAGTCAAATGGTCGTAAGTTGCACAGGTCGTAAGTCGATCAATACCTGTATATCATATATAAAAATATATATCATATATTATATACAATAATATATAATGATAGTTCTGTCAACTTCTTCATCGCAGTTATAATCTGAACTCATTTCAGCCTTCTTGGGTTTGCTCTGGAGTTTGCGTCCATGTGCTTCCCATGCTCCCTGCGATGATCTTTCACCTGCATCCCAAGCTTTTGCTTACCATGCCCTACACAAGTTGGGTCCCTTTCTAGCTCCTACATCACCCCAGGTAAAACTGGCTATTTTCCATCAATAGGAAGAATGATGGAAACTGGGAGGCCAGGTCTCAACCAAAGTTACCTCTTCCCTGAGCCAAAATATTTTACAAATTGTGATTCTTACAGTTCTTACAGTCACTTTGAAATGGGGTCCAGGACTTTGTATTTTTAATAAGCATACCAGGTAACACTGGTATACATTGAAGTTCTAGAACCACTGCTATGTTAAATATGATCAGAAATGCAGGTTCAGATGTAAAGTCTTACGTAAAATACAATCTGTTGGCATGCTGGCAGATAATACAGCTCCAAAATATTAAAGAGTAATAATAATAAAAGAATAACTTGCATCAGTCTGAAAGTACTAAATTTTCTCTGTTTTTGGTGAAATTTTAAAATAAGAAAAACTGTTGTTTCTTGTTTAAAAAAAAAAAAAACAAGAAAAATTATATTTGAACCCAGCATTTTTTCAACTTAACACTGTGCTAAGTAGAGAGGAAAGCATTACAAAGGTGGTTAAAATTTCTTCCTGGCCCTTTGGGCTGTTTTGGGATCACAGGAGTCCCGGTGGCTAGGGAGGAGTAACATGAAAGAGAGTAAGTAATGACATAGTAGTATCAGAATGTAGACAGAAGCTTGAATGCCCAAACCAGGGGTTTGGAGTCTAAAATGTACATATTATATAATCTGAGGGTTGCTCACCAGGGAACCAACATGATGCTTTTTTAAAGACAATGGTTCTTAATCCAGACTGGATATCAGAGTCACCCATACAGATTATTTGGACCCACACAGAGTCTGCTTAATCAAAATATCTGAGAGTGGGGTCTAGGCATATTTATTTTTATTTTTAACATTTCACAAATAAATTTGATACAAAGCCAAGGTTAAGAACTGTTTTAAGAACTCACCTCATTGGTCTTGTTGATCTGGACCCAGGAAGGGAAAGTAGGGAGAGGAAAATCAGGATACCCGACTAGAAGCACATGCAACATTTCTGAAGATCCCAATCAAACTTTTCTTGGGACCTACCAAAATCCTGTCTGCTGATTTGCTAACGGATCATGGGCTACATACAAACTCTAAATTAAGTCCCAGAGCTTTCTGGCCTCCATGCTGTGCTATTATATTGTAAAAATTCATCTGATAATTTGTCCCTTTTTAAAAGACATCTTGCCAGTGAAATCACTTCACTGTGAAACAGGGTGTCTCTTTGTTTCATTGTCTTTGGTTTTATAAAATCCTTTGGTATTTGTAAAGCACGCACATCTATTTTTCTTTTTCCACATCAACACGGCCTGCTTAACAAGGGAGTCTAATTAAAAACTTGATTTAAAGAACAAATGGTGGGGCTACTCACAGCCTGAAGCTGAAGAATCAGGTCATTTTTTTCCTGAGTGAGGGAGACTTGCTTTGCTTTCAGTTCCTCCTTCTGAAACTCTGATTTCTCCAAGGCTTTCTGCAATTGTGCAGACTCTTCCTTCAGTCTAGTTATTTCTTCTCCTACTTCTGAAGATTTAATAAGAGGCTTGATCTTGAAGAATAGCCTCATCCAGGGCCAGTTCTTCACAGCCATGAAAGCTCTTATGTTCCACTGGATCAAAGTAAGTGCATCCCTAAATCAAGAGAGAAGAAAGAAAAGCAAGTTAGCCTAGACTATAGGAGAATTAGTTCCCAAGTTAAGATTCTCAATAAACACATCTTTTTTAGGAGTCATAAAACATTCTTACCAGTCTTCAAAGCACTTTTATATCTAGATTGTCATTTGATTCTGACAAAACCCTCCAAGGGATATCTGGGGTTACCAATATTATGGACTAGATATCTTAAAAATGTTCCCACCACAAACATTCTTTGAATTAGAGCTGAGGCTAAAGAGAGTAAGACATATAGAAAGCAAGAAAAACTTGAACAATAAGTGAATACATGCATAGCTTGGCCGTCTTTATGGAAGGAGGGAACCAGTCTTGGTATTGTAAGAGTTTGTATTTTCATATTCACATGAATAAAAAGGTAAGGCAGAAACCTTCAAAGAATCTTGCCCATAATAAAAGGAGGAATGAAAAAACAACCCCACCAGCAAAGAGAGATATCAAATTAAAGTACATCTGATTCGGTATGAGTGAAGACAAATCCTACTTCAGATTTTTTAATGGTCCAGTACCACTGAAGTATTTAAGGTTTAAATTATACTGCCTGAATGGTACAGAAGTATACAAGAAATGAGCACAGTGATTTTTTTTACACTAATAATAAATACCTTTTGGATCCTTAGGGTAGGAAAATACAAAATTACATTGAAAAAAATATATCTTAAAACCAAGCACCAGAAATTCTCCTAGATAAGGGCCCCTGAAGAGGGCTTACAATCCAAAGTTACAAAACACATACAGAAAAAATTGATCATCAATGAAGTTGAGCACATATAATAAAAAGTTTGATGAAATCCTCGAGATTTTCAGATAATTTAATTATCTGGAGACTATCAAATAATTATGTTAAAAATTATTAAAGTATAAAGGAAAGAACTTTAGAAACAATGAACCATATGATAAAAGGACACACCGACTTGAAAGAAGACCAAATAAAATGTCTAAAACTAAAAAAATAACAATTGAAATCAAATACTCAGTGGAAAAATTAAGCAGGTTATTAGACACACTGGAAAAAAAACAAACTAGTGAATTAAGGAAAGAATAAGCTCCCACAGCTCCAGACTCCAGGATGGCCCTTACAACCTCAGGTTCCAGGCCTGCCCCAGTGCCAGGCCAGACATGCAGCCTCAGACTGCAAGCCTAACCCCAATGATCCAGGCTTCAGGACCATCCCATTAATCAGTTCAGTCCCCACAGACCAGGCTTCAGACTTGTCTCCATGGACCCAGTTAATAAGGGTGTTCCAGTAGATGCTAACCAAAGACATAAATCTCATGGCCCTAGGATCCAGACATACTCTGACTAGGTCCACTACCATAGACTTAGACGCCAAGGCCTGCCCATGTGGGTCCAAGCTCTGGTGTATACAGCCTCCAGGATAATCTTCATGGACCCAGGACTGAAACTGCCACGGAAGGGATGTATTCTCTCCCCATGTCCACAAGGGGGCATAGTTTCAAAGGCAAGAACTTCCCAGCACCATACCTCCACCCACATCTCCATCTCGGAGATTAAAGGTCTTTGTTTAACTTTCGCATGTGCAGGGTGATAAGCAAAGATCAGTCACTCCAGCAGATGTTTAAACGAACTTTTATAGGACAGAAAACTTGAATAGGGTGGGAATATCTCCCAGGTTAAAAGTCCCCTTCTCTATCATCTGGGCAGACTCCATTACTGGACCCCCTTCCATGACAGCATGGAAACTCACTCTCTCTCTATTTCTGTCTCCTTTTTTTTTTTTCTCTCTCTCTCTGCCTAAATAAATCACTTTCTGTAAAACTCTTTGGAGTTCAATATTTACTTAATCACTCACTATGCCTGGCGGGGTCCTCTCCCCTATTCTTGAGTGAAGGACCAAGGGCCTGGAAGAAAACAGCCCACTAGGGAAAAACTAAGCCCATTGTCTGCAATCCAGTCACACAACCAGGCCATCATGCCCCAAGACTCACCAGTGGACCCTACCAGCTGAACAGCCAAGAATCTCTGACCAAGCTTACTGAAGAAGAGCTTTTCCTGTTGAAGCCAGCCTATAAAAACTGAAAGACGTAGTATTTCAAATGCACAAACACTAATGTAACGCCACAAGGATCATGAATAATAATTTTAAAATGATGCCACCAAAGGGAAAAAAATATGACACACTCCTTAAAAAATGGAGCTCTACAAAGTAACAAAATCAGGCACTGGAGAAGTAATAAATTACAGTTTTCTGAAACAAATACACAATCAAAATGGACATCTGGAGCAGTTAGAAACAAAGCCCTACAATGTCTAGCCAGGTTGTCTGGAGAAGGTCTTTTCCAGTCAAAGCCAGTTCATAAATATGGAGGAGGGTGGCTGCTGTTTCTTCAAATGTACAGACACATATGCAAAGCTACAATAAACATGAAAAATCAGGAACACAGAACAAAATAAAAAGAATGAAATAAATCTCTAATAACCAATCCTAAGTGGAGATCTACGAATTGCTGACAAAGAATTCAAAACAATGAACTTTAAAAAAAAAAAAAAAAAACTTAGTGAACTACTAGAAAAAAACTAGACAAAGTCAGAAAAATAATATACGAACAAAAGGGGAATTTCAACAAGGAAATAAAAACCATTAAAAAGAATGACAAAGAAATTCTGGAATTTAAGAAAACAATGACTGGATTGAAAAGTTCCATGTAAAGTATAAATGCAATCAACAGGAAGAATCAGTGAGCTCAAGGGCAGGTCTTTGAAATTACTCATTTAGAGGAACAAAAAGGAAAAACAAATGAAAAGAGTGAAGAATGCCTGCAGTATTTATAGGATATCATGAAGCTTACTGGTATACACCTTACATGAGTCAAAAAAGGAGCAGAGAAAGAACTTTTAAATATGGAGAGGAAAACAAACATCTAGATTCATCATGCCCAAAGAAACCCAAGTAGATCAAATATAAAGAGAGCTTCACCAGTGCACATTATAATGAAACCCTCAAAAGTCAAAGACAGAATTTTGAATGAAGCAAAACAAAAGCACCTTGTCACATATAATGAAACCCTCATGAGACCATGAACAGATTTCTTAGCCAAAAACCTTGCAGACCAGGAGACAGTGGTATGATATAATCAAAGTGCTAAAAGAAAATAAAACCAAGAACCACCAATCAGAAATACTGTATCCAGCAAGGCTATCCTTCAGAAATGGAGAGATAAAGACTGCCACACAAACATAAGCTGTGGGAGTTTATCATTACTACCTGCCTTACAAGGAATGCTAAAGGGGGTTCTTCAAGTTGAAACAAAAGGAGGCTAACTAATTACATGAAAATATATAAAAGTGTAGAACTCACTGAAAAGAATATAGTCAAATTCAGAATGATACTGTAATAATGGGGCATAAACCACCTTTATTTTAAAATAAAAGCTAATGTACAAAATTATTTAAAATTACTATAACTGCAATAACTGATTAATAGACACACAATATTAAAAATATTAAAGAGTGACATAAATAACATAAAATATGGGGACAAGAGAAGTTAAAGTTGAGAGTTTTTATATGTAGTTGAAGTTAAACTATTGCCAGCTTAAAATAAGGTGTCAGCTTAAGACAAACATGTAACTACAAGATGTTTTATGTAAGCCTCATGGTAACCACAAAGAAAAATCTTCTAGTAAATACACAAAAGATTAAGAGAAAGAAATAAATACCTAGCATTACAAACTATTATCACATCACAAAGGAAATCAGAAAGAAACAATTTTAAAAAGTCAGAAAACAATTTAAAAATGGCAGTAAGTCCTTATCTATTAACATTTACTTTAAATATAAATGAAATAAGTTCCCCAATCAAAAGACAGAGAGGCTGAATGAATAGAAAAACCAAACCCAACTACACACTGCCAACAAGAGACATACTTTAGCTTTGAGAACATACACAGATTAAAAGTGAAGAAATGGAAAAAGGTATTCCAGGCAAATGGAAACTGAAAAAGATCAGGGATAGCTATAGTTATATCAGACGAAATAGATATAAGTCAAAAACTGTATCAAGAGATAAAGAAAGTTATTACATAATGACAAATGGGTCAATTCATCAAGATGATATAAATATCTCTATATTTGACAAGATTTAACATCCATCCATTATAAAAATTTTCAACAATGTAGGTATAGAAAAGAGGCACCTCAACATAATAAAAGCCATATATGACAAGCCCACAGCTAACAGCATACTTAATGGTGAAAAACTGAAAGGTTTTCTTCCAAGGTCAGGAACAAGACAAGAATGACCACTCTCAAAACTTTTTTTCAATATAGTACTGAAAGTCCTAGCCAGAGTAATTAGCAAAAAGAGGAAACTAAAGCCATTAAACTCAGAAACAAATAATTTAAACTATCTCATACAGAAAGCCCTAAAGACTACCAAAAAAATGGAATTCATACATTTGTAAGGTTACAGGACAAAAAAATCAACATAAAAAGTTAGTAACATTTCTACATACTAACAATGGACTAGCCAAAAAAGAAGTCAATTTATAATAGCATCAAAAAATAAAATAAAATAAAATACATGGGAATAACCCTTAAATAGGAGGTAAAAGATCTGCATGTTGAAAACTATAAAACATTGATGAAAGAAATTGAAGACACAAACAAATGCAAAAATACCCTGTGTTCATGAATTGGAAGAACACAGGATATTTTTGGTTAAAAGTTCATAGTCCCCAAAGTGATCTACAGATTCAATGCAACCCCTTTCAAAAGTACAGTGGCATTTTTTACGGAACTAGGAAAATATTCCTAAAATTTGTATGGAACCACAAAAGACCACAAATAGCCTAAACAGAAGAAACAAAGCTGGAAGAACCATATTACCTAATTTCAAAATATGCTATAAAGCTATAGCAATCAAAACAGCATGGTATTAGCATAAAAACAAACATACAGACCAATGGAACAGGGCAGATAACCCAGAAATTAATCTATGC